CTCTGACTGGATGGGGAGGGACAGGTCAGACTCAAGCGATAGGAGGTGTGTGGCCTCAATCAGGTCGTCACATAAACCTCTTGGAGTTGGAAACGGTTCGACTGGTTCTGACCCACTTCGCGCCTACCCTTCGGGGTCGCGATGTGCTGGTCTGGTCAGACAACCGGACCACAGTAGCTCACATAAATCGCTAGGGAGGAGTCAGGTCTCCTGTTCTCCACCGGGCGGCAGAGGAATTGTGGCTGTGGGCTCACAAGCACCTTCGCTCATTGAGAGCAGCACACATTCCGGGCTACTTGAACGTAGGAGCAGACCTCATGTCAAGAGGGGGTCCTCGAGACGACGAGTGGTGTCTGCATCCGGACATTGTTCTCCAAATTTGGGAACAGTTCGGGAGAGCCGAGGTGGATCTATTCGCGTCACGCGTGAACGCGCAATGTCCCCTATGGTTCTCCCTGAGGGAACAGGACGAACCACCACTGGGAAGAGACGCATTCGCGCACTACCCGTGGCCGAAAGTTCTCCTGTATGCATTCCCTCCGCTGTCTTGCATTCTCCCACTGCTAGCCAGGGTGAGATCAGGAGGGCTGTCAATAATATTGATAGCCCCCGATCGACCAGGGGCTCCGTGGTTTGCGGAGATGAGTCAGATGTTGATTGCGCCACCTTGGCCAATTCCACATCGACGGGACGCGTTGACCCAGGCGGGAGGCTCGATAGGGCAGTGGCCCATAATCGGCCAACCACTGAAGGCTTGGTTCCTGAATGGGACAGGTTGAGGCGCCGTGGGTTATCTGATGCAGTGATCAGAACCATACAGGGTGCACGAGCCGGTTCCACTTCTAGGATGTATACCAGCAGATGGAACGTTTTTTCACGATGGTGTGACACACAGGGTGTGGACCCCATGAACTGTCAGGTTGAGAGTGTGCTCTCTTTTCTGCAGTTTATGTTTGATAAGCAGAAATCGCCCTCCACCATTAGAGTGTTTGCAGCGGCGATTTCAGCTGGTCATGAGGGGTTTGGCGGAACGAATGTGTTCAGCCACCCTCTAGTGAAACGTTTCTTATTGGGAACGCGGCGGCTTAGGCCAATGCCTAGAGCCACGCTGCCCCAGTGGGATTTGGCTTTGGTACTCGAAGCGCTATGTAAGTCGCCGTTCGAGCCATTGAATCAAATACCCATCAAGATGCTGTCTATCAAGACGGCACTGTTGCTCGCTTTGACTACCGCTAAGCGTGTCAGTGATTTGTGTGCTCTGTCGACGAGACCCGACTGCCTTGCCATTAATGGCGATCTGAGCAGAGCGGTGTTACGTCCTAACCCGGCGTTTGTGCCGAAGGTTATTAGCAGTGCATATAGATCACAGACCGTGGAGTTGTGGGCTTTTTCTCCCCCTCCTCATGGGGAGAGGAGTGAGGAAAAGCTTCATTGTCTGTGCCCAGTGCGCGCTTTGGCGTGTTACGTTGAGCGCACAGCAGCGATTAGGTCATCGCCTCAGCTGTTTGTGTGTCACGGTGCGGCTGCATTAGGTAGACCACTTTCAAAACAGCGATTGTCTCATTGGCTTTGTGAAGGCATTGAGACAGCTTACGAGGCAGCGGGGCGACAATTGCCTCAGGGTATCAGAGCTCACTCCACTCGTGGAGTAGCAGCTTCTACTGCCCTTTTCAGAGGAACAGGGGTAGAGGATATTTGTAGAGCAGCGTCATGGTCGACACCGTCTCCATTTATCCGTTTCTATCTCTTAGATATGTCTTCTAACTCTTTGGCTCGATCTGTACTCAGCGTGGCTGAAGGAAGATCTTGAGCAAGAAAGAGAGAAAAAAGCAGGACTGTGGACGTAGGTTTCCATCAGGTCCGCTTTGGTTAGGAAGACGTATTTTTGATAGATATGTTTTCTAACTCTTTGGCTCGGTCTGTACTCAGCAAAGCTGAAAGGAGATTTTGAACCAGGAAGAGAGGATAAAGCAGGACTGTGGACACAGGTTTCCATCAGGTCCGCTTTGGTTAGGAAAACATGTTTTTTGATAGATAGGCTTTCTATCTCTCTGGCTCGATTTGTACTCAGCATAGCTGAAGGGGAATCTTGAGCTAGAAAGAGAGAAAAAGCAGGACGATGGACACAGGTTTCTATCAGGTCCGCTTTGGATAGGAAAGCATATCTTGTGGCATGACTCCTGACTGACAGGTTCAGTACAGTAGAGGCATGTATTGACTTGACAGAATGTGAGGTCATCTATCTGATTGTTCAGTTTAGTATGACCTATGTTTTGTTCCTGCCCACTAATCTCTGGGATTCCATTGAGTGAGTGAGGCGGTCTACCGTGTACACAATGTAGAGTGACACTTGGTGTCATTCCATTAGTGGTCGGTAGTGTTTTCACAGGATATTGAGGCACATCTATCTGCTAGTACAGATTAGTATAGCTTCTATTCTGGTGATCTGCCCACTAGTCAGTGACATTGCCATTGAACTAGGTGGGGCGGGTCTTTAACCGATGACGCGGTATATTGTGATGCCCGTATGGGTTCTTAGTTGCAATACTGCGGGAATTGGTTGCAGCCATTGCTAGGCTTGACCTTTTCATTTTTTAATGGGAAGTGTTAGGCTCGGCAGGGAGTACATTTTGGAGCGCTACGCTCCGCCTTAAACCACTAGGAGCAGAGCTCCACGATATAGAACGATTAGTTACCGGAGTGTAACTCCAGTTCTATGAGTGGAGCGGAGCCCCATAGGACTTAAGGCCCTGCCGACCCTCTCTAGTCTCGCTGAAGATAATATCTCGGGAGGCTGATTGAGGGGAGGCATCCCCTCTTATAGGGACACCTGTGCTCCCATTGGCTGCAGGTGTGTGCCTAATTTTGTTTCAGGCTGTTGCTGCCTTAGGGCAGAGGGTAAACCACTAGGAGCAGAGCTCCCCTATGGGGCTCCGCTCCACTCATAGAACTGGAGTTACACTCCGGTAACTAATCGTTCCAATGTGGTTGGTACAATGAGCGCTTAACTGTCGAAGTAATAATAGTTGATAACTTAAACGGATAAATGAGTACTTCTTGCAATAGCACTTTTCTTGTTTAATAATGATGAATTAATTCATTATAATTTCTGTTTTCAGAAAGGGGGGTTTGTTAAACCATGCGGGCTGTTTGCATTTCAAATTAGAGAGGTGTTAAACAATAGACGGGTTGGTTGTTTAGCAACAAAACCGACGCGTGCGCAACTATGGGGCAAAACAGACGAGGTTGTCTTAGATTGTTGACATGTAAAGTATATTTAGTCTCCAATGTTTATTGAAAACATGAATACGTTTGCACAATGAGCACTTGTCTCTCAAATACATCGTTACAGTTGTTGGTTAGCTAGCTAGCGAATTTTTGCCATATTAGCATAGAAGTCAAAACAAGACATGGTATCAAGAACAAGATAAATCTAGCTGAAACGAGCCACCTACGATTCCCCACATTGCAGCTTCTTGTCATTGAGTACGTTTACATACACCGTAATAATTAGCTATTAAACTGATTATAGGGAGATTATGCAATAGTCATGTAAAGACCTGACTCTGCTTATCTTAATCGGCGTAAGGTCCAAATCGAAGTAAGCATACGCTGATTAAAACACCTGGTTTTCTGAGCAATCATTCAAATTATTAGGACACGTAAACCCCTTAATCGGCGTTCCAGCTGTGTTTTTGATTTGCATGCGCTAGCACCAGCCGAGCGTGAGTTCGGAACAACTAAATGTATGCTTCTTAAAGTAGTTTTCACATACACATTTTATATGTTCGCCCTCGGAATCAAATATGCTTCCTAAAAATAACATGCTCGCTGTGGTAGAACGTTTATTTTGATTGGAGATTTTCTGCATTTATTAGAGTGCCATCAGGTAGCCAGATTTCAGATGTGTCCATGTAAACAGGATTATTAGGGAAATCTTTTTTCTTAAAACGTGCAAAGCCTGTAAACGTTTTAATCTAACTGTTCACAATAATTGCATTATTGTGTGCATGTAACCATACACATTGTTGCTAGCTAGCTATCTGGCAATCCAGAATCACAACAACACACAGACTTCTGCCACATGGAAGCTTGTGCATTGTTTTCATGACGTTGTCAGCTAACCCTTCTGTGGAAGTGTTAATGAATTTAACTGCAAAAAATCAGAGAACCATTAACACAGACCCGAAACATGTATTGTGGTTACATGGTCTGTGAAAATGCAGGAATCATGACCTGGTCTTTCAGGTGTGCTTTTTACATCCTACCCTTACGCTCTCTTCAAGTAATTGAGGCTTTATTGGTAGGCTACCACAACATGGGTTTGTTTGTTGTTTTGTTTTCTATCATGTTCCTCCATATACTGTCAGATGTTACCATGTTTGAACATGTCATTCATTAAACGTGTAGGTTAATAAATGAACCAAACTGCCCTAAATTACGACTGCCTCACTTAATTGAGACTGAAGGTAGACTGCAATGATTTCTAACTAGCTGCAAAGTACACACTACAGGGTTGTAATCATTAGTCCAAACAGAGTTTCCATTGGACAAATTCAGGAAGGTCCCTTCCCGTTTCGTTCCGTTTGCTTCCGTTTAAGAAACGTTTTGCAACAGAATCGGCGTAATGAATACGTCGCGGTAGTTTCAATTTTGAAAACAAAAGTCTGGACCATGACGTCATCAAAGAAGGACAGCGGGCTTTCTAGCAAGTGTAAACAAAATGACATTGAAGTCTTGCAACTCGTGGAAAAGGCTCTTGGCACATCGACCTTTTGCGTAAATAGCTAGCTACATTGTCATATTATTACAAGGCGAAAACATGGTGGATATACGCACAGGTGAATATGCCCCTTGAATCTATACAATGACCTATATTCGTTTTATTATTTGTGTTCACGTCTAACATGTTTTTATTTTTTATAGCTGTAACGTTACCGTCAGAGTCCTTAAATGAAAGCTCCTCCGGTGATGAACCCTTGATTGCATTAATAAAGAAGATGCCCCAGCCCAATGAGACCCAGGGTAAAAAAAGGCTGAACATCACTAGACAAGATTCAGGTGAGAGAACATGTGAAATGAAAACCTTTATAAACACCTATTAAATAAAGCAGCCCTTACAAAGTGCAGTAATTGCAGTCAACTGTGGTATTTTGGACGCAGTAATTGCAGATAAAAAAAAAAAAAAAACTTATTTTGGACGCAGTATTTGCAGCATACTGCAGTTATACCGCACTCTAACTGCAGTTATACTGACTCTGACTGCATTCTTTTTTCGTAAGGGAATGTACCTTATTTAGAGTAATATGTTGATATTTGCTGTTTGTGTGATTCGGGTTAGGTGACACCTCAGATGATGAACCCTTGATGAAGTTGTTGAAGAGACTTCCCAGACCTAAAAAAGCCACTGTACAAGCAAAGAGGCCAGGGACTACTTATATCAAAAGAGGAACAGGTAATGGCATCCAGAAGACAAACAACAAGATCGCAGGTGAGAACCTCTCTCTAGCTCCTCTAAATGTATGTCCTGAATACTGTAAAATACATATACACACACACTACTATTCTGAATGGATGAATGGAAGGAGGCATCAATTTGTTTGGTCTATGTTGTAATTATAGGTTCAACCCAGGATGAGGACTCCTATGACAGCTCAGACAATGAACCCTTGATAAAGATGGTTAAAAAGCTCCCTAAACAGACATCGTTACCATTCAAAAAGAGACCCTTCAACACAGCCAGAGAGGTGAACGCTGTGAAGAAGCGCAGAAATAACATCCAGAACACTCATAACATATGCACAGGTGAGACTAGTTCCTCAATTCTTGTATCTAGCCTATATTTGTAAGCTACAGGACTGTTTCGCTAGCACAGACAGGTATATGTTCCGGGATTCATCAGATGGCATTGAGGAGTTTACCACATCCATCAGTCACCAGCTTCATTAATAAGTGCATCGACGACGTTGTCGCCACAGTGACCTTACGTACATATCCCAACCAGAAGCCATGGATTACAGGCAACATCTGCACTGAGCTAAAGGCTAGAGCTGCCGCTTTCAAGAAACAGGACACTAATCCGGACACTTATAAGAAATCCCGCTACGCCCTAAGACGAACAATCAAACAGGCAAAGTGTCAATACAGGACTAAGCTCGAATCCTACTAAACCGGCTCTGATGCTCGTTGGATGTGGTAGGGGTTGCAAACTATCATGGATTACAAAGGGAAACCCAGCTGAGAGCTGCCCAGTGTCGCGAGCCTACCAGACGAGCTGCTGAGGGAGGGCGGCTCATAATAATGGCCGGAACGGAGCAAATGGAATGGCATCAAACACATGGAAACCTTGTGTTTGATGTATTTGATACCATTCCACCTATTCTGCTCCAGCCATTACCACGAGCCCATCCTCCCCAATTAAGGTGCCACCAACCTCCTGTGGCACCAACAGATCCACAGATTATGTAATCTCTGTTGTACTCCACACTGCCCTTTCCCACCTGGACAAAAGGAACACCTACGTGAAAATGCTGTTCATTGACTACAGCTCAGCGTTCAACACCATAGTGCCCTCCAAGCTCATCACTAAGCTAAGGACCCTGGGACTGAACACCTCCCTCTGCAACTGGATCCTGGACTTCCTGACGGGCCGCCCCAAGGTGGTGAGGGTAGGCAACACATCCGCCACGCTGACCCTCAACACAGTCCCCTCCTGCTAAGTCCCCTCCTGTACTCCCTGTTCACACACGAATGCGTGGCCGCGCATGACTCCAACACCATCCTTAAGTTTGCCGACGACATGACGGTGGTAGGCCTGATCACAGACGACGATGAGACAGCCTATAGGGAGGTCAGAGACCTGGCAGTGTGGTGCCAGGACAACAACCTCTCCCTGAACGTCAGCAAGACTATCATGGACTACAGGAAGCGTAGGGCCGAACGCCCCCATTCACATCGACAGGGCTGTAGTGGAGCGGGTCGTGCGCTTCAAGTTCCTTGGTGTCCACATCACTAAGGACCAAGGACAACGCCTCTTCCCCCTGGCTGATCTTAAAATATTTGTCATGGGTCCTCAGATCCTCAAAAAGTTATACAGCTGCACCATTGAGAGCATCTTGACTGGCTGCATCACCGCTTGGTATGGCAAATGCTCGGCATCCGACCGCAAGGCGCTACAGAGGGTAGCGCGTATGGCCCAGTACATCACTGGGGCCAAGCTTCCTGCCATCCAGGACCTCTATACCAGGCGGTGTCAGAGGAAGGCCCTAAGACTCCAGCCACCCTAGTCATAAACTGTTCTCTCTGCTACCGCACGGCAAGCAGTATTGGAGCGCCAAGTCTGGGACCATAAGGCACCTGAACAGCTTCTACCCCCATGCCATAAGACTGCAGAAAAGTTAATCAAATGGCCAACTGGAGTATTTACATTGATCCCCTTTCATTTATTTATCTTAATTGTTTTACACTGGCTCTATGCACATTCACTAGACTCTACCCAAACACTCACACATACTACACTGACACTCCAACACACACACACACACACACACACACTACATATGCTCAGACACAAAACACACTCACACATACATATTGACGCCACACACACTCACACACTCACACTTTCACACTCTTCACATACGCTGCTGCTACTCTGTTTATTATCTATCCTGATTGCCTAGTCATTTTTACCCCTACCCACATGTATTACCTCAACTACCTCGTACCCCTGCACATTGACTCGGTACTGGTACTCATTGCATATAGCCTCGTTATTGTTTTTGTTGTTACTATTTCCTTTTTATTTAGCAAATATTTGCCTACTTTTTTAACTCTGCATTGTTGGGAATGGGCTCGTAAGAAAGCATTTCACTGTGAAGTCTACACCTGTTGTATTCGGCGCATGTGACCAATAAAATTGGATTTGATTCATATACAGAAATTTACTAAATGGCTTTAGCGGGTGCTAAACTTGCTTTTCCTGTTCATCTTATCGTCTATGTAACCAGACTCATCAGGTGACAGCTCCGATGATGTGCCATTGATCAAGATCAAGACACAAACCCGAACAAAGACGCTCCCTACAACAGCCAGAAAAACACACGGCATTAAAAAGCCCAGTAAAGTTCTTAAAAAACACAACAGGAGTATAGGTGAGAACACATAGCACCTCTTGTCTATATGCTTTCACTATGGCATAATATTTCTGACAGTTGTATCCTTGATTCTAATCCAATAGTCTTGTGTTCTGATTGCATGGTCAGAGTCCTCCAATGACAGCTCAGATGATGAACCATTGATTAATCTAACCAGGAGGTCTCCATCTAAAGACACTGTGAGGACAATAGTGAAGAGGTGTGTCGCTAAGGAGTCCAATGGCAACAACTGTAGTCGAAGTGAAGGCAAAACAAGCAGAGGTAACTTCTCCTACAGAGCACATTTTTACAAATATTGCTGAGTATGCTGGCAGATCATGTTTTAGATGGGTCTCTCTGTCTTTCCTTTTATCCTGTTTGAATTTTCAGAGGAAGAGGTGAATTCTGATTCTGATGATGAGCCCTTAATTAGTCTAGCTAAAAAGCCTCTTAAAGCTGTAAAGAAGACCACGACACCAGTAAAGAAGAGGAGTGTGCCAGGAAAGACAAACAAAGCAGTCAATAGATGGAGCACCAAATATGTTCAAAGCACGAGTGAAGGTGTTAATACTTTTTCAGCACTTGTCAAAGCAGGGATTTCAAAGCAATCCTAAAAACACCCTAGAATAGATTAGGTTGAGTCTTGTTATGCAATAGTTGATTTGTATTGCTTTATCAGGGTCTTTGGATGATAGATCAGATGATGAGCCCTTGATTAAGAAGATGGTGAGAAATCCACCAATGAAGACCCTGATGGTTATTCTGGAGAGATGTGACACTAAAGAAGCCTTGGAAGATCACTGTAGAGCCAATGTGGGAAACGCGGGCGAAAGAAGTGCAGGTAAGAATTCCTCTTATTGTATATTTCCCTTCCCATTTGGAGTATCTTTGACATAGTCGAGAGCTGCACTGTTTGATAAATAACATTGAAATCTGTCATTGTCTACCTATTATGCTGTACTTATTTGTTTTTTGTGTATTTATATGGAAGAGGAGAACTCCGATGATGAAATCTTGTTAAAAATGGTCACGAATCCCCCTCATTCTTCACCAGAAGCTATGGCAGAGAAGAGAAATCAGTCACAAGACTTCTCTGACGATGAACCTTTGATAAAGATGGTTGGAAACCCAGTCATTATCATGGACTAGTATAGATACAGGAATAGTACATTTTAGGACGACAGCATTCAGTAACAAACTTGTCGAAGATGGCACAATAGTTACTGACACAACACCTTTTTTTCTTGCTTGAGTTTACTGTGTTATGGTGAAAATATGTGAGTTTTCTAAATATTAGGTGATCTGGGATAACTATTTTTATGTTTGAATCTTTAGTGTTTTTATTTTTTGTATAACTTTTATTTATTTTTGTATCATGTTTACCACATGGATGCTCGTGGTAGCATGTTTTATAGTATATTTATGGCCATGCAAAAGTTGACTCACTCCAAACAATAGGCCTGATTATTTTTAATTGTTGCCAATTATGGGTCTCCAGCATAATGAATTAGAGTACATTTGTGTGATAAATGCAGTACCTGACTCCTCCCTATTCATTTAGACTGGAATGTACCATCAAAATAAATAAATAAATAAATATGCCATTTAGCAGACGCTTTTATCCAAAGCGACTTAGTCATGCATGCATACATTTTTGTGTATGGGTGGTCCCGGGGATCGAACCCACTACCTTGGCGTTACAAGCGCCGTGCTCTACCAGCTGAGCTACAGAGGACCACACCAAATAGGGAGCAGTACTATTCATTTAGACTGGAATGTACCATCAAATAGGGAGCCGTACTATTCATTTAGACTGGAATGTACCATCAAATAGGGAGCAGTACTATTTATTTAGACTGGAATGTACCATCAAATAGGGAGCAGTACTATTCATTTAGACTGGAATGTACCATCAAATAGGGAGCAGTACTATTTATTTAGACTGGAATGTACCATCAAATAGGGAGCAGTACTATTCATTTAGACTGGAATGTACCATCAAATAGGGAGCAGTACTATTCATTTAGACTGGAATGTACCATCAAATAGGGAGCAGTACTATTCATTTTCGAAAACTGAAACTATAGATGTGCTTGTTTCAGTCCACCTATGTAATGGCTTACCATTCAATTGTGTGAGATGACATTACACTTTTTTTTATTCATGGATTGTTTTCACAATTTTTATTAAAAGAACAGAAGTTTCCTATTTGTCTTAGTCATTACCAAAAAAAACACCTTCACTTCTATGGGAGATATTAATCGGCAAAGGATTCCAGCTTCTTCACTGAGACAGCATCTGTAAAATGAGGCTAATTTTGTGTCGAAGTTGGAACACATAATGTTATGGTGGACTGGAAACCCTCAAATGTATATTGTAAATCCACTAGAATTTGTGCGACTGAAAGAGCGTGTAATACATTTCTGTCAATTAGCAGACGCTCTTATCCAGAGCAACTTACTGTTAGTGCATTCATCTTTACTTTTTAATTTTACCTTTATTTAACTAGGCAAGTCAGTTAAGAACAAATCTTATTTACAATGACGACCTACCAAAAGGCCTCCTGCGGGGCCGGGGGCTGGGATTAAACAAATAAATATAGGACCAAACACACATCACAACAAGAGAGACAACACTACATAAAGAGAGACCTAAGACAACAACATAGCATGGCAGCTACACATGACAACACAGCAAGGTAGCAACCCAACATGAAAACAATATGGTAGCTAAGACAGACAACCGTATATCAATCATAGTGATACATGGGTACGCTTCAGAAACCTGAGATGTATGACATGAACAATGAAACCTTATGTGATATAGACAATACAATGTACAGTATAAGGAAATGAATGAGCATTGATGAATGAATGAATTCATAAAGATGGAGTAGAACGACTTATTAAAAAATTCCCTTCATTGTGACTTTTTCCCGAGTTGGCATAAATCAACAGTTTCTTCCGTCTTTTTCAGGTGCTCCTCTATTGTTGGTTTCCCGGTCTTAGGAAGAAAAAAATGTATCGCTTTGGTGCAATTTTCACAAGGATGTGATACATTTTCACAACTCTTAGTACAAAACTCAAAATAGATAATCAAAAGGCAGTTTCAAAAGTTCAAGTACAACACAAAAGTATAGTCACTTTTTTACCAAACCTAATCAGTGTTTCATCTAGAAATGCATGTTTCACATTGCAATACATGTTCATATAAAGTAATTACCTTCCACAATGCAATGCTCACATTTCTTTTGATATGATTCTCTTCTCTTTTCTTAAAATACATTTTATTATTACTTTATAGACTGCTGTTAATTGATGATCCCTTAAACGTTTGGTAAATCTATCGATTTTCCATGAAAACTGGTTTGTCTACATAACCAGTTTAATGAAAATGTATGTCTGTAAAGTAGAAACATAAAAAAGTATGATACTTGAATGTACTACTATGATGATGACTAATATGATTTTACTTCACAGTACTGTAAAAATCTGATATTGACAAGATCAGAGATTCACTGTATGTAACAAATCAACGTTTATTGGTCGTGTACACAGATTAGCAGATGTTACAGCAGGTGCACAGAAATGCTTGTGTTTCTAGCTCCTACAGTGCAGTAATACAATACGCAAATAATCCAGAAAGTCCAAAACAATAAATAAATGCATCCCCTATACAGTAAACATGTATCCAAAATGAAGTTGCTGAGGTCTTTTTGATGGGGGCAGGGTTCACACTGCTTTACTAAAATTGCATTGGCCAATATGGTACTGTAATGCCATAATATACAGTGCATTTTAAAAGTATTCAGACCTCTTGACTTTTTCCACATTTTGTTACATTACAGCCTTATTCTTAAATTGATTAAATTATTTTTTTCCCTCATCAATCTACTCACAATACCCCATAATGACAAAGCAAACAGGTTTTTTGAAATGTTTGCTAAATTATAAAAAAACAGAAATACCCTATTTACATTAGTATTCAGACCCATTGCTATGAGACTCGAAATTGAGTTCAGGTGCATCATGTTTCCATTGATCATCCTTGAGATGTTTCTACAACTTGATTGGAGTCCACCTGTGGTAAATTCAATAGATTGTACATGATTTGGAAAGACACACACCTGTCTATATAAGGTCCCACAGTTGACAGTGCATGTCAGAGCAAAAACCAAGCCATGAGGTCGAAGGAATTGTCCGTAGAGCTCAGAGACAGGATTGTGTCGAGGCACAGATCTGGGGAAGGGTACCAAAAAATGTATGCAGCATTGAAGATCCCCAAGAACACAGTGCCCTCCATCATTCTTTAAATGGAAGAAGTTTGGAGCCACCAAGACTCTTCCTAGAGCTGGCCGTCCGGCCTAACTGAGCAATCGGGGGAGAAGGACCTTTGTCAGGGAGGTGACCAAGAACCTGATGGTCACTCTGACAGAGCTCCAGAGTTCCTCTGTGGAGATGGGAGAACCTTCCAGAAGGACAACCATCTCTGCAGCACTCCACCAATCAGGCCTTTATGGTAGAGTGGCCTCAGTGAAAGGCACATGACAGGCCGCTTGGAGTTTGCCAAAACGCACCCAAAGGACTCGCAGAAACAAGATTCTCTGGTCTGATGTAACCAAGATTTTTGTTGTTATTTTAAATGAATTTCATATTTTTGTGTTTATTTTAGTTTTTTATGTTGGGTACTTTTTACCACTTTTTTGGTAGTTACAGTCTTGTCCCATCACTTCGGGAGAGGCGAAGGTCGAGAGCCATGCGTCCTCCAAAACACGATCATGCCAAGCCACACTGCTTCTTGACACACTGCTCGCTTAACCCAGAAGCCAGCCACACCAATGTATTGGAGTAAACACCGTACAGCTGGTGACCGAAGTCAGCGTGGAGGCGCCCAGCCGCCACAAGGAGTCGCTAGAGCGCGATTGGACAAGGACATCCCAAACCCTCGCCTAACCCGGACGATGCTGGGCCAATTGTGCGCCGCCTCATGGGTCTCCCGGTCTAATGTAGCAGACACTTTTATCCAAAGCGACAACAGTCCACACATTTTGGTATGTGACCCCAGTGGGAATTGAACTCACAACTCTGGTGTTGCTAGTGTCATGCTCTTATGAACTGAGCCACGTACTGGACCACTACAATACATAAGCACAATACTGTAAAATACAATGGATGACGCATGCAATGATTTCAATCCATACCTACACAGTGTACAAAACATTAAGAACACCTTCCTAATATTGAGTTGCACCCCCTTTTGCCCTCAGAACAGCCTTAATTCGTTGGGGAATGGACTCTACAAGCTGTCGAAAGCATTCCACAGGGATTCTGACCCATGTTGACTCCAAAGCTTCCCACAGTTTTGTGAAGTTGGCTGGTTGTCCTTTGGGTGGTAGACCATTCTTGATACACATGAGTGTGAAAAACCCAGCAGCGTTGCAGTTCTTGACACAAACCGGTGTGCCTGGCGGGCACCTACTACCATACCCCGTTCAAAGGTACTTACATCTTTTGTCTTGTCCATTCACCTTCTGAATGGCACACACACACAATCCATTCAAACAGGCAAAGCGTAAATACAGGACTAAGATTGAATCCTACTACACCGGCTCCAAAGCTCGTCGGATGTGACAGGCCTTGCAAACTATTACGGACTACAAAGGGAAGCCCAGCCACGAGCTGCCCAGTGACACAAACCTACCAGACGAGCTAAATTACTTATATGCGTGCTTCGACGCAAGCAACTCTGAAGCATGCATGAGAGCACCAGCTGTTCCGAACGACTGTCTGATCACGCTCGCCATAGCCGATGTGAGCAAGACCTTTAAACAGGTCAACCTTCACAAGGCCGCAGGGCCAGATGGATTACCAGGACGTGTACTCTGAGCATGCGCTGACCAACTGGCAAGTGTTCTTTACTGACATTTTGTAATACCTACATGTTTCAAGCAGACCACCATAGTCCCTGTGCCCAAGAACACCAAGGTAACCTGCCTAAATGACTACCGACCCGTAACCTGCCTAAATGACTACCGACCCGTAGCACTCATGTCTGTAGCCATGAAGTGCTTTGAAAGGCTGGTCATGGCTCACATCAACACCATCATCCCAGAAACCCTAGACCCACTCCAATTTGCATTCCGCCCCAATGGATGACGCAATCTCTATTGCACTCCACACTGCCCTTTCCCACCTGGACAAATGGAACACCTACGTGAGAATGCTGTTCATTGACTACAGCTCAGCGTTCAACACCATAGTACCCTCAAAGCTCATCACTAAGCTAAGGACCCTGGGACTAAACACCTCCCTCTGCAACTGGATCCTGGACTTCCTGACGGGCTGCCACCAGGTGGTAAGGATAGGTAACAACACATCTGCCACGCTGATCCTCGTTATGGGGGCCTCAGGGGTGCGTGCTTAGTCCCCTCCTGTACTCCCTGTTCACCCATTACTGCATGGCCAAGCATGACTCTAACACCATCATTAAGTTTGCCGACGACACAACGGTGGTAGGCCTGATCACCGACAACGATGAGACAGCCTATAGGAAGGAGGTCAGAGACCTGGAAGTGTGGTGCCAGGACAACAACCTCTCCCTTAACATGATCAAGACAAAGGAGATGATCGTGGACTACAGGACCACGCCCCCCTTCTCATCGACAGGGCTGTAGAGGTTCAAGTTCTTGGTGTCCACATCACCAACAAACTATCATGGTCCAAACACACCAAGACAGTCGTGAAGAGGGCACGACAAAGCCTAAAATATTTGGCTTGGGTCCTCAGATCCTCAAAAAGTTATACTACTGCACCATCGAGAGCATCCTGACTGGTTGCATCACCGCCTGGTATGGCAACTGCACGGCCTCCCACCGCAAGGCACTAGAGAGTAGTGCATACGGCCCAGTACATCACTGGGGCCAAGCTTCCTGCCATCCAGGACCTCTATACCAGGCGGTGTCAGATGAAGGCCCCAAGACTCGAGCCACCCTAGTCATAGACTGTTCTTTCATGGTACACCTGTTGTATTTGGCACATGTGACAAATAAAATTTGATTTCATTTTATGTCTCAATGCTTAAAAATCCTTATTTAACCTGTCTCCTCCCCTTCATCTACACTGATTGAAGTGGATTTAACAAGTGACATCAATAAGGGATCATAGCTTTCAGCTGTATTCACCTAGTCAGTTTTTCATGGAAAGAGTCAGTGTTCCTAATGTTTTGTACACTCAGCACAGGAGGTTGGTGGCACCTTAATTGGGGAGGACGGGCTCGTGGTAATGGCTGGAGCAGAATGGGTGGAATGGTATCAAATATAGCAAACACATGGTTTCTGTGTGTTTGATGCCATTACATTACGCCGTTCCAGCCATTATTATGAGCTGTCCTCCCCTCAGCAGCCTCCACTGACACTCAGTGTATGTCAGGTGTGGATTCGCCATGCCAAAATATTTTTCCCCTGGTGAATGAACAATGAAGATATTTACTGCAATTTTTTGTGAGAACCTATGGCCAAATGCTCCAGACAGGCTTGATGCAAACTAGTGCCTGATAAACATTGTTTCTTTCATTTACTTTCATTTGATTACATTGTGAAAGATGTCTTCAATGATCACACATGGAATATAAATTATGGAAATGTAATGTTCAGTCAATTTTAATGGGTTGTGCAAGTTTATTGCCTAATGTGAAATCAGTGTAATGTACTACAGTTTACAGTACTGTAGCATACTACATTCAAAGGGCAATTTTGAAACATGTATCTTACATTTTTTGCTATTGGATTAACTGGTTGTTAAAATAACTAAATTGAGAAGATATCATTATGTTGTGTTTTGGTGATTAAACCAATGTACTCATATTTCACAGTAAACATGTTTTGGATCAATTGTTCTGTGGTGAAAGATGTCTACAAACAAAATGAATGCTCAGTGAAAGATTTTGAATGTAAGACTGGCTGTGTTATAAGTCTTACCAGTTTGGAGTTTTGTACTAAGAGTTTTGAAAATTCACCAAAATAGTACCAAAGCGATAAAAAAACCTGTAATGAAACATGTTAAAACAGTTTGTATGCTCCTCAACGTAGCGCCCCAGCAACTGCTCAACATGTTTTTTTGTTTTGTAATACAACATTGACGCCTACTAGTGAAATTACTTAATACACAAATCCATACACTGATATACACAGTGCCAGTGTGGTACTTTATTTGCATACCCCACAACAAACACAGGTTTGAGATGTACTGTATGATGGAAACATTTAGTTTAATAACAAACAAACACTATAGGATTCTATGAATATGATATTGGTCATGCAAATAACAATTTAGGTTCAATAAGTGCTTTACAGGGTTAACCATATTGTTTACAGATGATTGTTAAAATTTTTACTTTGTCTTTCAGATACACGTTTTTAGATTATCAACAACAATAGTTTTCTGTACTCATTTCAAATGCATGTCCTTCCTCATTGGACATACAGTACCAGTCATAAATTTGGACACACCTACTCATTCCAGGGTTTTTCTTAATGTTTTATATTTTCTACATTGTAGAATAGTGAAGACATCAAAACTATGAAATAACATATATGGAATCATGTAGTAACCAAAAAAGTGTATATATTTTATATTTGAGATTCTTCAAATAGCCACCCTTTGCCTTGATGACAGCTTTGCACACTGTTGGCATTCTCTCAACCAGCTTCATGAGGTAGTCACCTGGAATGCATTTCAATTAACAGGTGTGCCTTCTTAAAAGTTAATTTGTGGAATTTCTTTCCTTCTTAATGCGTTTGAGCCAATCAGTTGTATTGTGACAAGGTAAGGGGGGGTATACAGAAGATAGCCCTATTTGGTAAAATACCAAGTCCATATACATGAACAGCTCAAATAAGCAAAGAGAAATGACAGTCCATCATTACTTTAAGACATGAAGGTCAGTCAATACGGAACATTTCAAGAACTTTGAACGTTTCTTCAAGTGCAGTCGCAAAAACCATCAAGCGATATGATGAAACTGGCTCTCATGAGGACCGCGACAGGAATGGAAGACTCAGAGTTAACTCTGCTGCAGAGGATAAGTTCATTAGAGTTACCAGCCTGAGAAATTGCAGCCCAAATAAATGCTTCACAGAGTTCAAGTAACAGACACATCTCAACATCAACTGTTCAGAGGGAACTGTGTGAATCAGGCCTTCATGGTCGAATTGCTGCAAAGAAACCACTACTAAAGGACACCAATAAGAAGAAGAGACCTGCTAGGTCCAAGAAACACGAACAATGGACATTAGACTGGTGGAAATGTGTCCTTTGGTCTGGAGTCCAAATTTGAGATTTTTGGTTCCAACCACCGTGTCTTTGTGAGACGCGGTGTGGGTGAACAGATGATCTCCATGTGTATTTCCCACCGTAAAGCATGGAGGAGGTGGTGTTATGGTGTGGGGGTGCTTTGCTGGTGACACTGTCTGTGATTTATTTAGAATTCAAGGCACACTTAACCAGCATGGCTACTACAGCATTCTGCAGCGATACGCCATCCCATCTGGTTTGGGCTTAGTGGGATTATCATTTGTTTTTCAACAGGACAATGACCCAACACACCTCCAGGCTGTGTAAGGGCTATTTTACCAAGAAGGAGAGTGATGGAGTGCTGCATCACATGACCTGGCCTCCACAATCCCCCGACCTCAACTCAATTGAGATGGTTTGGGGTGAGTGGGACGGCAGAGTGAAGGAAAAGCAGCCAACAAGTGCTCAGCATTTGTGGGAACTCCTTCAAGACTGTTGGAAAAGCATTCCAGGTGAAGCTGGTTGAGAGAATGCCAAGAGTGTGCAAAGCTGTCATCAAGACAAAGGGTGGCTATTTGAAGATTCTCAAATATAAAATATACTTTGATTTGTTTAACACTTTTTTGTTTACTACATGATTCCATATGTGTTATTTCATAGTTATGATATCTTCACTATTATTCTACAATGTATAAAATAGTAAAAATAAAGAAAAACCCTTGAATGAGTAGGTGTGTCCAAACTTTAGACTGGTAGTGTATTATACATCATTAATAAATATCACTTTGGATCATAATCCCAGCGACATCATAGATTGCTAGACTGTGTTTCTAACAACATGGCCTCTGCTCTCCTGTGTTTCTGTAGTGTGACCTGCAGCTGCCAGTATCTGAGGTAGATCCACATCAGACTACCGTTCTTGCGCTTGTCAGTGTTCAGGTACTGTGCACAGTGGCGGTCATTTTTAAAGATGTCCTTCAGGCCGGCCTCCATGTCCAGCTGGGCGAGAGCCCGTTCCCTGCCAGCTCTGACCAGCACGTCCTTCTCCATTTCCAGCCTCTTCTCCCGGGGCACCATGATGCTGCAGAAAGCCCCCTGCCTCTCCACCAGACCCTCCTCCACCTCCCTCAGAGCGGCTATGGCTCTCCGGTGCCACTTGCTCTCACTCTCCCTCTCCAGAGCCGTGTGGAAGAGGGCCCCTGCTGCGCCCGCCTGCAGCAGCCGGCTCTTCTCCCCAGTCAGGGCCTCCCGCTCCTGGCTAAGCCTCCTGCGTTCCTCCATCAGCTGCTGGCTCTGGGAGGCTATGGCCTGGCGGTAGCCCTGCACGCGGTTCTTCTCCTTCTCCAGTTCCAGCTCCAGGTGGACCGTCTCCCGTCGGTTCTCTCTCAGCGTGTCCTTGTACTTCAGCTCCATGTCATCGCGGATGGCCTGCATGCTCTTGTCGTACTTTTCTTTCACCTCCAACACTTCCCTCTGTGACTCCCTGGACCAGATCCACCCTGAAAGATGTTTGCATTTAGCTTGCTATCTACCTGTGTCTTACAAGTTGTGGATGCAAAATGTTGCCACTTACCTTATCTTACCAAATGAAAGTAAGGAAAGTTTGTCATCAGACATGCCAATCTTGGATTTCAGGATGTGCATTGAGAGTTAATGCATATGGTAAGACATCAGCAGTACAGTACATTTTTATTGGCCTAAAACTGATGTCTGTAAACTGAGCACAGTGGCCCTCTGATCGCCCAGTAATGCAGAGTCAGTAACATTGTTATTATGTCTAGTCATAACAGGCAACCTGCTCTGTGCTTCTGAAGTCTTGAGCAGGCAACTTATGTAATTCAGTACTTACGGAAGGCAGCGAGGCTAATCATTGGCACCAGTAGGGCATAGTTCCACTTGTTCAAATCGCCACCACCACCACCCCCTCTCTGCTCTGGCCTGATGTTCCATTCCTGGGGGTCATTCAGGTTGTTCATCTGGCCTGCAGAGGTAGCATAAATTCAATGAGTGACATAATCTCTGCCTATTAATAATGTGCATGAACTGCTCACAATCTGGGGTAAACTGCACTGGTGAGAACACAACCAATAAATTATTTATTGACTCATGTGCAAAAGCATTTAAATATGGGGTATTGCAAATTACCATATTCGTCATTATTCTACTATTCCTACTTAATATTGTCGTGACGTGACTTACTTTCATGTATGACTTATTTATCGAATCACCTAACTATGTTTAATTGTCACTTGATTAAATTAATCATGTAACAATTAACTCATTAGGAATTTGGGGCACCACGGAATAAGTTGTTTAATGAGTTACCATCTCCAGAATTAAACTCTTAGAAGATATGTTATATATCGATAACAGTCACTTATCAAATAATTACCTCATCAGTCTCATTCTGAACGTTGCATAATCCTTGAACCTGCAAGAACCCTAACCTTATTGATGAATCAGCAATACACAAATTGGCTTAATTATTTATTTACTAACTAAATAATAACATAATAACATAACGTGGTCCTCTGTAGCTCAGCTGGTAGAGCACGGCGCTTGTAACGCCAAGGTAGTGGGTTCGATCCCCGGGACCACCCATACACAAAAATGTATGCACGCATGACTGTAAGTCGCTTTGGATAAAAGCGTCTGCTAAATGGCATATTATTATTATTATTATAACATAGGTTATTGATTACTAACGTAATACAATGAAAACAGGTCCCTAGTGGACTGGACTAACAATCGCATGACTGCTTGGGTAGAAGGAGGGTCAGAGTGGAAGGGAGAGACAGATTCAAACTATCGTGGTTCCTTTGGAGACTATGCTCACAGTAATCATAATACTTACGCACCCTAATAACGCTCATTCGGATTAGAAATGCAACATGTATTTACGTGTAGCTGTCCTCGATAGTTGAGTTGATGATGTAGGACTCTGGTTTGCCCACCAGAGATCCCAATGTCCTTGGTAGAGTTTCTGGTCATAGTGCTGGTTAGAATGGATACTTCAGATGTACCAGCGGTTGTCTGAGGGATTGTCCTTCCCACTTCGTGTCTATAGTGAAAGTTCTCTAGACGACTATACATGCCAGCTGCAGACTGAAATGATAAGGTCTAGTGCATTGTCTTCTTCTTCACCTCGTGTAGAGGTTGAGAGTTTCAGAGTTTCTCCATTTCAAACATGTGGACTAACGTCTCGTTTTCTGGGGCTTGCTGGTCTGGGTAGAAATTCAACCATTTGCAACGTTTGGCTCACGCTTCACGTCTGCTGGTCTTCCTTTGGTAATGGAGTTGTCATTTTTAACCATTTTGTAACGTTTAGCTCACGCCTCACGTCTGCTGGTCTGTAGAGTTTCAACCATTTGCAACGTTTTGCTCACTCTTCACGTCTGCTAGTCTGTAGAGTTTCAACCATTTGCAACGTTTAGCTCACTCTTCACGTCTGCTAGTCTGTAGAGTTTCAACCATTTGCAACGTTTTGCTCACTCTTCACGTTATTCTTTAGATCCCCACTGACCATTTCCCACATTCTTTTAAGTAGGAATATTGTTTCATTATCCACTTTTGGATGTTGGAGTCTTGGCGGGAAGACTTCCTTTGTCTCACAGGGAAATTCTTTCTTCCCATACTAGAGACCAAAATGAGTATTTTTCTGCAAACTATTTATGACCGGCTGTTAAGTCATAAAACTGGCCCCCAGGAAAAGGGATGTTCAAACCTTTGCCTAGCAGGAATGTTTGATCCTCAACCCATGAGGGCAAGTCATGACACTATCTACATGAACTACAAGTTGACAGAAATGCCTCGATGGTTGACTGTCAAACTGGAGTTTTTTATAAACCTGAATCAGAGCTGGTTTGTTAGCTAACTAGCTAGCTAGCTTTATTTACTGACCTTGGCTCGATGCATTTTTTATTCAGTTCCATTCAAACCAACTTAGTTAATAGGCCTGATACATAACCTGCAGAAAGTGTTAGCTACCAAAAGAAAAGCATGGCTTAAGTAATATTGCAGATACCTTTCTGTTCAAGAATGACAATGTCTCTTCAATCGAACTGCATTCGTCTCTCTTCCGGATTAAACATAGTGTAATTTCCCAACCAGACTTTGCAGAGGGGAGTTCAATTGGAGTTAATTTAGATATTGTCAATATAATGACGTAAACCGAATTATATGAGTTGTGAAATATCAAAACAGTTATATAGAAAGTTACTTGATGATTTAATAAATATATAAATGAGGACTATTTATTTTCCTTTTGAGAAAATTTAGCCCTTCTCTTGAGATGGTATGCTCCGGCGCCGGGGCATGTGCCAGAGCAGTTTGGTAAAGTTGATTTTCCCAAACGAGAGCACCCATCATGGCCGCGGTGTGTACTGCCTCCCGTGTCCTCACCAAAAAGGTCCTGTCAGCTAAGGCGGTAAGTATTTGGAGATAAACTGTTGCTATAGAATATCACTATGAACTACTTTATCTTTTGTCTTTAGGAATGTGTCCATATGAGCTGGTATTCGCAGAGAATTTAACTTTAACCCACCCTGTTTTGTAACATCAGCTGGTCAATATCTCACCATTGACGGGGTTTCGTAGCTAGCTACCTAACTATCATTTGCTATGCAATACTGGGAGCTAGCTTAATGGTTTTTTAATATCCATGGCAATTCGATTCTGACGAATAGCTTGATAAATATACTTTTTATTGCTCGTGTATGACGATTGAATTAAACCTGGCAGTAGCCATAAACATCAGTGCATTACATCAGTGCATTGAAGGTCAAGCAAGGCAAGTTAGCTAAGAAGCTGTTAACAATGTGGCTAACCAAGCAGTAGGCTATTTTCCAGTGTTGGCTGTCAGTCATTGATTTTATGTTTGATGACAAATAATGTCTCTCGGCTACCTTTCTTTTGAATGCATGCTGTGTTTCAAGAGGGGATATTGAAACTATGGCAAAGTGGTAACTTTGCTATCTAACGTTAGCAACTTAACTAGAGTTGGCCAGCTCTTAATTTTAATAGTGTGTAACTGCAGCCCTCAATTTGGGGCTTTCCTGCAATTTGGGGCGTTCCCCTCCCGAGCGTCCCATTGGTTCCTGCATGCTAAGCTAGCACACAGTGTCTTTCGTTCCCGTCTGCCGAACACCTTCCCTCGCCATCGTTAACAGAACTGCGGGAAAACAGTGCCCGACAGGCAGGGGCGAAAGACACTCTACCGGTGTGTGCTAGCTGTAGCCCCCGCTTCTTCTTCTGTGTGGTTTATCGGTAGTTGGCATCCAACGTTATGGTGCATTACCGTCATCGACTGTACTGGAGCGCCCCTGTCTCCCACCTATGTACTGGAGTCATAGTTTAAAAATTGACCAATAGAAGTATAAAGATGGGTTTAGGCAGATGCTGAAATGCCCACATGCAGGAACGCCCTGAATTGCGGGCTGCAGTTGCACCCTTCTCCTGAATTTGGGACTGGGTGTGTTTTGAGGATGTTTGCTGAGGAATAAGCAAGGAAGTTATTTGTTTAGATTGGAGGACGTGAGATAATATATGATCCCAGAGAGCATTTACCGATCTATATGATTTTAAATCAATATTTTTGTCGCATTATGTAAATAAGTCTGAAAACACTTCATACACCCACACGTGTATCGCTCGCCTCAGAAATATTGGTTGGGATGCTGCTAAGAAGCACTATTATGCATGTTGTGAAATGATTTTTTAACACAATTAGGCTACATGTTGCTGCAGCAGTCTCACCTTAATTATGTAACCATCAGCTGGCTGTGTTTTCGCTGCATTTGAAAACATTGAGCAAACTACACTAATGTTAGAGGCCCATAGACAAGGCATAAATTGACTTGACATTTTGTGGATAAGTCTAGTTCTTGCAATTGAGTACTTTCATCAATAGCCACACACAGCCTGTGATATAGGCCTATATTTACCTTTCTTTTTCTATTTAGATTCCGGCAGTATCCCAGAGCTCCAGGAAGCTCCACTTCTCCATCTACGGGAAGAACAAGGCTAAAGTGTCAGATGGCGTAAGTCTGCATACTCCATGTTCATCATTGACATTACTGTATGAATGGATTCAATATGTTTGCACAAAATATATTTTATTTTAGATTTAATTTGTCTCTATGCTTATCGAGACAATTTGTATTATACAACTCTAGGTAGAGAAAATACTAAAATGTTAATGTTTTGTGCTTTTGTTTTTGCTGGTCCCTACAGATCACCACACAGTACCCCGTCGTAGACCATGAGTTTGATGCGGTGGTTGTGGGTGCCGGCGGGGCAGGACTGCGTGCTGCTTTTGGCCTGTCTGAGGCTGGCTTCAACACAGCTTGTGTCACAAAGCTGTTCCCCACCAGGTCGCACACGGTGGCTGCACAGGTATAACAAGTTATATATTCTACAATATTCAATGGGAAATGACCATGTAAAAGCAGGAAATATCCCAGATTGTGTTGCATGATAACAAGTCTCCTTCACTCTGTTTGCATTATACACAGAAGGAAGCAATGCCATGTAAAGTCACAATGAATTAACAATTTCCCACTGCGGTGGCATTATCAGCCACCTTAATGTTTTACACTTGTATTAGGCCTACCTCCATGCAATATCTACAAAAAAACGTCCAAAGTTCATGATTTAAGATTGATCTTTCTTCAAGTGGTCCTGAACAGTTGTTTTTGCATTTAGGGTGGGATCAATGCAGCCCTTGGAAACATGGAGGGAGATGATTGGAGGTGGCATTTCTATGACACGGTGAAGGGATCTGATTGGCTGGGAGACCAGGACGCCATCCATTACATGACAGAGCAGGCCCCACATGCCGTGGTGGAGGTGAAACACGCACACACAACTTTTTAGATATGTCAAAGAAAACACAATGGTAAAGCGGGACATTCACTAAAATGGTAAAGCAGGACACTCAATAACTTAAATTAAACTATGCCTCTGACGGTTCTTTGTTAAAAAACTAATGTATGGAAAGGTAACCAGCCTCTTGAAAGGGAGTTGGTGGAAGGGGCCAGTAGGGGAATGTGGCATGCATGGGGCAGCAGGTAGCCTAGTGGTTAAGAGCATTGGGCCAGTAACCGAAGGTTTGCTGGTTTGAATCCCTGAGCCGACTAGGTGAAAAATGTGTAAGTGCCCTTGAGCAAGGTACTTCACCCTAATTGCTCCTGTAAGTCGCTCTGGACAAGAGCATCTGCTAAATTAGAAAAATGTAAAAATGCATGCTAACAGTGGTGGTGTAAGCAAAGGTCCCATGCTAAAAGGTGCAATATGCAGAAATTGCTCCGCCATTTCCTGGTTGCAAAAATTCTAATAGTTGGCCTTTTAGTTTGGTAAAAATCATCGTACCATCTAAACCGCTGTGAAATATATTTTCAATAACCAAAGATATAGTATTTTCAGTTGTTCGAAGCTGGTGTAGAAAACCGGACGTATAAGACGCAAAAAGGAAAGTTAAGAACGGGAAGCATAGACAAAGCATACATAGAACAGATCTACCGCTTCTTAGACTTGCTTTCAATGAGAATGACAGGCCTATAACTCCCATTTCTATGTGAATTTGGTCGTGTTGCCCAAAAAATGACATATTGCAGCTTTAAAAGAGCTGCAGCAGAACTCAAGGGCCCCTCAGACTTGGCATATTAATTAAATCAAATCAAATTTTATTTGCCACATGCGGCGAATACAACAGGTGTAGGTAGACCTTACAGTGAAATGCTTACTTGCAAGCCCTTAACCAACAATGCAGTTTTAAGAAATAAAACGGTGAAGTTAAAAATAAAAAATAATTAAAGAGCAGCAGTAAAATAACAGTAGGGAGGCTATATACAGAGGGTACCGGTACAGAGTCAATGTGTCCTGTCCTTTTTCAGCCCTTCTGATGTACCAAAACAAGTGAAAATGCCCTTTCAATGCCCTTAATCTTCTCTGCAATGTTGTGTAGCTGCCTTTACGTACACTACCGGTCAAAAGTTTTAGAACACCTACTCATTCAAGGGTTTTTCTTTATTTTTAATATTTTCTACATTGTAGAATAATAGTGAAGACACAAAACTATGAAATAATACATATGGAATCATGTAGTAACCAAATAAGTGTTAAACAAATCAAAATATATTTTATATTTGAGATTCTTCAAATAGCGACCCTTTGCCTTGATGACAGCTTTGCACACTCTTGGCATTCTCTCAACCAGCTTCATGAGGTAGTCACCTGGAATGCTTTTTAATTAACAGGTGTGCCTTGTTAAAAGTTAATTTCTGGAATTTCTTGCCTTCTTAATGTGTTTGAGCCAATCAGTTGTGTTGTGACAAGGTAGGGAGGTATACAGAAGATAGCCCTGTTTGGTAAAATACCAAGTCCATATTATGGCAAGAACAGCTGAAATAAGCAAAGAGAAACGACAGTCCATCATTACTTTAAGGACATGAAGGTCAGTCAATACGGAAAATGTCAAGAACTTTGAAAGTTTCTTCAAGCGCAGTCGCAAAAACCATCAAGAGCTATGATGAAACTGGCTCTCATGAGGACCGCCACAGGAATGGAAGGCCCAGAGTTACCTCTGCTGCAGAGGATAAGTTCATTAGAGTTACAGCCTCAGAAATTGCAGCCCAAATATATGATTCACAGAGTTCAAGTAACAGACACATCTCAACATCAACTGTTCAGAGGAGACTGCGTGAATCAGGCCTTCATGGTCAAATTGCTGCAAAGAAACCACTACTAAAGGACACCAATAATAAGAAGAGACTTGCTTGGGCCAAGAAACACGAGCAATGGACATTAGACCGGTGGGAATTTGTCCAAATTTGAGATTTTTGGTTCCAACCGCGTGCCTTTGTGAGACGCGGTGTGGGTGAACAGATGATCTCCATGTGTATTTCCCACCGTAAAGCATGGAGGAGGTGGTGTTATGGTGTGGGGGTGCTTTGCTGGTGACACTGTCTGTGATTTATTTAGAATTAAAGGCACACTTAACCAGCATGGCTACCACAGCATTCTGCAGCGATACGCCATCCCATCTGGTTTGGGCTTAGTGGGACTATCATTTGTTTTTCAACAGGACAATGACCTAAAACACCTCCAGGCTGTGTAAGGGCTATTTGAACAAGAAGGAGAGTGATGGAGTGCTGCATCAGATGACCTGGCCTCCACAATCACCCGACCTCAACCAAATTGAGATGGTTTGGGATGAGTTGGACTGCAGAGTGAAGGAAAAGCAGCCAACAAGTGCTCAGCATATGTGGGAACTCCTTCAAGACTGTTGGAAAAGCATTCCAGGTGAAGCTGGTTGAGAGAATGCCAAGAGTGTGCAAAGCTGTCATCAAGGCAAAGGGTGGCTATTTGAAGAATCTCAAATATAAAATATATTTCTTTAACACTTTTTTGGTTACTACATGATTCCATGTGTTATTTCATAGTTTTGATGTCTTCACTATAATTCTGCAATGTAGAAAATAGTAAAAAGAAAGAAAGAACACCTACTCATTCAAGGGTTTAAAACTTTTGACCGGTAGTGTAGACTTAAACAATTTGATTTAATACATTCTGTGTAATTAAATAATTAGCTAAAGTGCAAGCGTATTAGTGTAATTATATAGCCTATAATTATTTTGGGATTAAGTTGAACCCCCTTCCCCAATCACAAAGGATTGGCACAACATCAAAACAAACACTGATAGGCTGATAAAATGAAAACAATAATGTATTATTTCTTGGCTAACTTACTTTTTCTAGCTTCCTGTTGTGAAAATAACTGAAAGCTGGTGTGCCAGTGATTTAACAGCTCTTCTTGATGTCCCCAGCTGGAGAACTTTGGCATGCCCTTCAGCCGTACCGAGGATGGCAAGATCTACCAGAGGGCTTTTGGTGGCCAGAGTCTGAAGTTTGGCAAGGGAGGCCAGGCCCACAGGTGCTGCTGCGTAGCTGACAGAACCGGCCACTCCCTCCTGCACACACTCTACGGACGGGTACGTCACAATGTCTTGACTCAAAATCCCATAATCCACCACTTGCAGTCAAGCTAAATTTCCATACCTTTTCTCTGCTGTTCCTCTGAATCCCATTTTACTGACAAACTCTGCTTTTTGAATCTCAAATTTTGTCCTGTTTTTGCTGGATTCAGTCATCTATCACTCTTCTACACTTCTCACTTATTTAGTCTCTGAGGTACGACACCAGCTACTTTGTGGAGTACTTTGCCCTGGACCTGCTGATGGAGGAAGGAGAGTGCAAAGGAGTGATTGCTCTGTGTATGGAGGATGGATCCATCCACCGCTTCAGGTCCAAGAACACAGTCATCGCCACAGGGTATGTATCTGGCTCTGTAGTAGATGTTTCTGTAGTGAATAAGTATACAGTTAGAATGCTTGTTCCAAGTAATCTGGGAGGTTTGTCTTACCAGTTATACCAAGTTGTAATGTTAACTTTTTAACATCCTCACCCTGAACAGAAGGTGCCTCCTTGATGACGATGTAAAGTGCTCCTATTTTGCCCCGAGTCTTACTCCTGCCTCTGCTCAATCTGCAGTGGTTACGGCCGTACCTACTTCAGCTGCACGTCAGCCCACACCAGCACAGGAGACGGTAATGCCATGGTGACCCGTGCAGGCCTGCCCTGCCAAGACCTGGAGTTTGTCCAGTTCCACCCCACAGGTCAGTGTCTCATATCGGATTGGCAATAGAGGCCTGTCTGCTAGGGAGTGAACTTAAGAACATTAAATAAAATTTTATTTGAGAAGATTTGATAAACACTCAGAATAGACCTATCCATTAGAAGTGTAATCTTGAGGGGCCTCCCGAGTGGCGCAGCTGTCTTAAGGCATTGCATCGCAGTGCTTGAGGCGTCACTACAGACCGGGGTTCGAGCTCAGGCTGTGTCACAACCGGCCGTGATAGGGCGGCGCACAATTGGCCCAGCGTCATCCGGGTTAGGGGGGGTTTGGCCAGGGGGGCTTTACTTGGCTCATGCTCTAGCAACTCCTTGTGGCGGGCCGGACGCCTGCAGGCTGACTTCGATCGTCAGTTCAACAGTGTTTCCTCCGACACATTGGTGCAGCTGGCTTCCGGGTTAAGCGGGCAGGTGTTAAGAAGCGCTGTTTGGCGGGTCATGTTTTGGAGGACGCATGACTAGACCTTCGCCTCTCCCGAGCCCGTTGGGGAGTTGCAACAATGAGACAAGATCGCAATTGGATATCACGAAATTGGGGAGAAAAAGGGGGTAAAATACAAAAAAAATTATAGAAGTGTAATCTTGAAAGTGTTTCTGTCCTTAGTCGGAAGGTAACTGCTGAATAATCATGTGCGTTTCATGACATGCCAGTATCGTTGGTGTTTGATAATTCAATCACATGGTCATAGAAGTCCGAGGGCTGGCAGACACGTCTGTTTACATACTGTGGATACATAATCATACTATAAATATAATTGGGGGTTAAATGAAGTCCTTCGGTGCCCTCCCTCAGTGCTGGTTTCCTATGACGTAACGTAATCCCTCTAGGTATCTATGGAGCCGGCTGTCTGATCACAGAGGGGTGCCGTGGTGAGGGAGGAATCCTCATCAACAGTGAGGGCGAGCGCTTCATGGAACGGTACGCCCCCAACGCCAAGGACCTGGCCTCCAGAGACGTTGTGTCCCGCTCCATTACCATCGAGATCCGAGAGGGCAGGTAAGATCACCGCCAAGGCCCTGCCGTCCCTGAGCACCCACAGAAGTATTGTACTGATGCTGGATAACTGATGTATATGTGTGACTGCATGCTCTATGGATGTCAGACCAGTGATTGATATCGGCATGCACAGTTTCAAAAGAAGGTGTAAAATGGCTTAAAATAGATGGTCAATCTAGAATCCATCTATTCATGCTTTGGTGAACAAAAATCGACCTCAAGAATTGCAGTTGAATTTGAATAATTTTACATTTGTCATTTAGCAGATGCTTTTATCCAGAGCAATTTACAGGAGCAATTAGGGTTAAGTGCCTTTCTCAGGGGCACATCGACAGATTTTTCACCTAGTCTGTTCGGTGATTCGAACCAGCAACCTTTCGGTTACTGGCCCAACACTCTTAACCGCTTGGGGCTACCTGCTGAATGACAGGAAATGGAATTCACATGGAATCTACCCACAAATTTCAATGGAAATGTGCCCACCTTGCTATGAGTTTCAGGTGAAAGACAACTGTCACGCTAACGGACCTTTATCTGTGTGTTCCTAGGGGATGTGGCCCAGAGAAGGACCATGCGTACCTGCAGCTGCACCATCTCCCTCCACAGCAGCTGGCCACCCGCCTGCCAGGCATCTCCGAGACTGCCATGATCTTCGCTGGTGTGGACGTCACCAAAGAGCCCATCCCCGTCCTGCCCACTGTCCACTACAACATGGGAGGAATCCCTACCAACTACAAGGGACAGGTAAATAGGAGCACCCATTGAAAAGAAGTGCAATACATTTGCATGTTTTCTAACTAAAAGTCCTTTGAAATGACCCTAATATAAGTAAGCAGATCTAATGAGAGACATATGTAGTGAGTCTTAAAACTGGACCTCCCTTGGGTTTAATGTAATCAAACAATCTAATATCTTATCATATAATATATGTATTGTCAGCCTTGATGTAATGTCTGCTGTAGTGCAGATCATTTTATAATGATTTACTGTCCTGTTCTCCACAGGTCATCACCTACACGCCCGAGGAGGGTGACAAGGTGGTGCCAGGGCTGTTTGCCTGTGGCGAGGCTGCCTGTGCCAGTGTCCATGGTGCCAACCGCCTGGGAGCCAACTCCCTGCTGGATCTGGTGGTGTTTGGACGTGCCTGCGCCCACACCATCACTGACATCTGCAATCCAGGTAACAACTCTCTTCTTTAACCCTTACCTGTATGTCAAGACAAAAGCACATTGTCCCACAGCTTTTTAATGTAATGGCCAGGCCAAGGCTCCCTTGGAAAAATAGTTAGACAATCCTGGCAATGTGATGTTTCTGCAGGAGAGAAGCTCTCCCCCCTGAAGCCCAACGCAGGAGAGGAGTCTGTGGCCAACCTGGACAAGTTGAGGTTTGCTGACGGCAGCATGAGGACGTCCGAGATCAGACTGAACATGCAGAAGGTATGGATTTAAAAAATCAAAATATTTTTTTGGGGGGAATGGAACTGATGTGCAGCACATCCTTATTAGGAATGTACTTTGGATGGTCATCAAATCTACTGGTAATGAGCGTTAAATACTTGTACAGTACCATCACTTCTTCTCTAAACCTGTGTTCCTCTCTCCGTTGTCAGACCATGCAGAACCACGCCGCTGTGTTCCGTACTGGCAAGGTCCTGAAGGAGGGGTGTGACAAGATGGACGCCGTCTACCAGACCCTGGACGACATCAAGACCTTTGACAGAGGTCAGCATCTCATTCCCTCTGCTGATGTGATATGAATAGTCTTTCAATTGCCCCTTCTCGCAAGGGCAGAAGATCTTTGTTGTCCCATTGTTGGGCTTGATTGCAGCAGTGATGATGTTCTGAAGCAATGTTAAAGTTCCATCGTTCCCTCTGTCTCCTCCCCTTAGGTATTGTGTGGAACACTGACCTGGTGGAGACCCTGGAGCTGCAGAACCTCATGCTGAATGCTGTGCAGACCATCAACTCCGCCGAGCAGCGCCAGGAGAGCAGGGGAGCCCACTCCAGAGAGGACTTCAAGGTAAGAACTGAAGACACAGAAACCACTCCTATACTAGCCTGGCCTGCAATGAGAATTTGTTGTCTGGGAAAGCGATATTACTCGTATGCATACGGTTCCATTTTGTTTCATAGTAGGGGTCTCGATGTGGACATGTTTTTTTGGAGCTGAAAGTAATGCATATTGACAGACACTGCTTTTGTGTACACACAAACATCCACCATAAACTATAGGAGCTCTCTCCAGCAGTAGTTGGACCAGTCTGTAGACTGTGTCATTCTGAAAGATTCCTATGTAATATTGCAGGACCGTATGGATGAGCTTGACTACGCCAAGCCTCTGGCGGGACAAGTGAGGAAACCCATTGAAGAGCACTGGAGGAAACACACTATGTCCACTGTGGATCCTAAGACGGGAAAAGTAAGTACGCTCACAAAACCGGTCAATGCCTAATGATTGTTTTAACTTCAGAGTTTCTTAATTTATTTTTCTAAATATAAATGACAGGATTAATTGTAACATACTTTCATTCTTACAACACAATAATAGCAGAGTCTATGTGCTTGCCAATGTTCATTTGCTATCACTCACCCATTTCTCCCTTTTTGTGCTTGTGTTATAGGTAACTCTGAAATACAGACCAGTTATTGATAACTCTCTGGATGCAGAGGACTGTGCTGCTATCCCTCCCGCCATCCGTTCCTATTAAGCACATAACTATCCGATGCTGATTTAACTATTTTATTTATTATCAGAATTTATGCTTTTGCAGTTATCCTTTATAAAGTTTCAACAGGACTCCCATATTGCTAATAATAAATACTGTATGTGGAATATTTGATATGTTCGATAATAAACCTTACTGTAAACTGAAGTAAATTGAGTGTTTTGTGTGTACTTTAAACTTCCACCACATTTGCTATAGTTCTTACGGGCAAATAAATACATATTTCATATTTAGATATTGAATGATTTGTAGAAATCTTTTTTTTTAAAGAAAACAATTAAAACCCTAATTTTGAAGATATCCACAAAGTGCCAATACAATAGTCAATTTCTTCAGTTGGTGGCTTTCCTTGGTCAAGGAAAAATACATTTCTAATCTATGTAAAGTTCTGTTTATCTTGCATGCTTCCTGTTTTGTAGGATTTATCTTCAATAAAGATGGCACTTTTGTAAATTATCTCTTATGCAGGTTGCGTTGAATTGTTTTTACACTGGTTGGAAATCGCCCAAAGGCCTGCAGATGACGATATTGAGTCGTTTCATCTTACTGTCCAAAGGGAATGGTATGCAGCCGGCTATACATTCTCCGTTCAGGCTGCAAAGGCATCGAGTGTCTCAACTCAATTTAATGGCGAGAAGGTGGAAAAAAACGGGGAAAATATGAGTACATTCTTTATGAAACACCATTTTCCACCACCATGCTACAGTGGCTAACGCTAGCCCCGGTCCACGGTAGTGTTTTTAAACTATCAGACCGGGGTGAAAAAACAGACTGCTGCAACAAATATAGGGTCCTTGCTATCTGGGTTCCTTGGGACATCCCAACTATGACATTACCCCATTGAAGTTGAAATTTAAAAGGGTTAAGGGTAGAAAGCTATATGCAACATCTGGGACTAGCATTAGCCACTGTAGCACAGATAGTTATGAAAATCTTTGACTGTAGCATGGTGGTGGAAAATAGTGTTTCATAAAGAAAGTAGCTACAGTGCATTCGGAAAGTATTCAGACCCCTTGACTTTTTCCACATTTTGTTACGTAACAGCATTATTCTAAAATTGATTAAATTGTTTTTTTCCCCTCATCAATTTACATACAATACCCCATAATGACAAAGCAAAAACTGGTTTATTAAATTTTTTACAAATGTATTAAAAATAAAAAACTGAAATATCACATTTATGTAAGTATTCAGACCCTTTATTCAGTACTTTGTTGAAACACCTTTGGAAGCGATTACAGCCTCGAGTCTTCGTGGGTATGACACTACAAGCTTGGCACACCTGTATTTGGGGAGTTTCTCCCGTTCTTCTCTGCAGATCCTCTCAAGCTCTGTCAGGTTGGAGATGTTTGATCGGGTTCAAGTCCGGGCTCTGGATGGGCAACTCAAGGACATTCAGAGACTTGCCCCGAAGCCAATCCTGCGTTGTCTTGGCTGTGTGCTTAGGGTTGTTGTCCTGTTAGAAGGTGAACCTTCACCCCAGTCTGAGGTCCTGAGTGCTCTGGAGCAGGTTTTCATCAAGGATCTCTCTGTACTTTGCTCCGTTCCTCCTTCCCTCGATCCTGACTAGTCTCCCAGTCCCTGCCGCTGAAAAACATCCCCACAGCATGATGCTGCCACCTCCATGCTTCACCATAGGGATGGAGCCAGGTTTCTTCCAGACGTGTCGCTTGGCATTCAGGCCAAAGAGTTCAATCTTGGTTTCATCAGACCAGAGAATCTTGTTTCTCACGGTCTGAGAGTCCTTTAGATGCCTTTTGGCAAACTCCACGTGGGCTGTCATGTGCCTTTTACTGAGGAGTGACTTCCGTCTGGCCACTACCATAAAGGCCTGATTGGTGGAGTGCTGCAGAGATGGTTGTCCTTCTGGAAGGTTCTCCCATCTCCACAGAGGAACTCTGGAGCTCTGTCAGAGTGACCATCGGGTTCTTGGTCAAGTCCCTGACCAAGGCCCTTCTCCCCCGATTGCTCAGTTTGGCTGGGCGGCCAGCTCTAGGAAGAGTCTTGGTGGTTCCAAACTTCTTCCATTTAAGAATGATGGAGGCCACTGTGTTCTTTTGGACCTTCAATGCTGCAGAAAAAAAGAATTTAATCAATTTTAGAATAAGGCTGTAATGTAACAAAATGTTGAAAAAGTAAAGGGGTCTGAATACTTTCCGAATGCACTGTATAAGTTATCCCATACAAGCTTTTGTGCTGAGTACATTACATTGTTACAGGTGTCAAGCTTATGGGCATGTGGCAGCAGTGTGTAGGATGGAGGTTCCTAGGTGTGAGAAGTGTGCAGAAGAGCATGAGACAAAAGATTGTGTAGCATTGGGGAAAGTAGTGGTATGTGTTAATTGTAAGGGTACCCATGGGGCTGAGGATCAGAAATGTCTGGTGCGAGAGAGGCAGGTTGAGGTTTCCAGGGTTAGAGTAGTGCAGAAGTTGTTGTATGTTGAGGCAGTGAAGAAAGTAAAGGAAGATGAGTCAAGGGGGCGGGGATCCTGAGAGGAGTGGTGTGAGTAGTAGATATGTACCAGTACAGAGGGATAGGCCAACAAGTGATATATGCATCAGTAAGATTTAATTTGTAGCGTTTATTGCAATGGTTATCAACTACTGCAGGGATGGAATGTAAGTCTCAGAAAATTGAGGTTGTGGTGGCAGCTGCAGAGAGGTATTTGGGTGTACGAGCCTTTGACGTCAGAAGAGTTACAGGGTGTGTTGAGTGGTGATGTCCAGTCCTTTCAGGCTGTTGGCCTGAGGTAGGACTAGATAGATGTAAATAGTGGAGTAGGGTGGTGGGTTTTTAGTGAGTGTAGGGTTAGATGGTAGGGTCTTCGTTTTTTTTTTTTTTTTCAAGCAAAGTATAAGGGAGTTATACTCCAGTTTAGTAGGTGGCGGTAATGCAACATTTATTGGATGCCAACCGCCGTTAAACCTAAACGAAGAAGAAGCAGCGAAATGAGCGGAACTTCATGTAACTCATTTCCGTTATCTGGTCCGTCAAGCAAAAACTTTCCCCAAGACAGATCAACAATGGCTGAACGAGGATACAGCTTCTCCCTCACTACTTTCAGGTAAATTAAAAGTACAATAGATTTCTGCGTAGCAATCCAAAACGTACGCAATTAACACCTTACCATGAAGCCATTATCTGCGATAGTTGTGATCTTATTATAACTATATGGCCATTAAATGCACTTGAGGCAACACTACAAGAGATGCAGTGTCACGCCGATGTTAGCGAATGCTTAGCTAACTAGCTTCCTACCGCTGTTGAAGAGTTGAAGCCACTGATGATGTATAGCTTGAAGCGGGTTAGCTAGCCTAAGCTAACTAATATATAATAATATAATATGCCATTTAGCAGACGCTTTTATCCAAAGCGACTTACAGTCATGCGTGCATACATTTTTGTGTATGGGTGGTCATCGGGGATCGAACCCAGATATAAGATAGATAGTTAACATATCTAATGTAGGCTAATGTCATAATATTTGTACTGGCAATGCAGTTGCTATCTATTTTTGTTTTCCCAATAAAAAACCCGTTAGCAAACTAGCTACAATCCCCATAGCTACTGTGTAACGTTAACTGGCTAACGTTAGCTAGCTACATAAACAAAACTATTCGGGTTTTGGCTACTAGCTACACAGCTGTCGTTAGTTAGCTAACTAGATAGATGAGTAGCTAACTAGCTAGTGAGATATTTAGCTAGTTAAGTTAGCTAACGTTAAATGGTTGTAACTAAGATTGAATTAGAACATTTCCATGCTACATATCTTCCTCTTTTCCAACAGCCCCTCTGGGAAGCTGGTCCAAATTGAATATGCCCTGGCAGCTGTGGCCGCAGGTGCACCCGCTGTGGGAATCAAAGGTAAGTAGCTAACGTTAGCTAGTTAAATAAAAACAGTGATTTGGTGCAGGTAACGTTAGTTTACACCCACCCTGTCTATTTATTCGGGAAACACTCTTTTAAAGCCACTTTGATACCGAAGTGACTTTCTCGTAGCAGGTTAGTGAAAATGCTCTCCGAACCTGCGACGAAAAAAATACTAAGTGTCCACTATTTTTTCAGTGTTTTGACTGATTTCATTTATCAGTGTCCACCCAATTAAACGCCTCAACAAAGGAGTTGTACATGTCACTACTCAACATTCACTTTACTGATCACATTCTCAAGTAGCCTAATGAGAGCTGATTGCAAGCATTGGAATTTCATGTATTTTTGTTCCACTTCTTCCAGCCTCAAATGGCGTTGTCTTGGCAACAGAGAAGAAACAGAAGTCCATCCTGTATGATGAGACCAGTGTTCACAAAGTCGAGCCCATAACCAAACACATCGGCATGGTGTACAGTGGCATGGGACCTGACTACAGGTAATGAGACCTCCTGCTTACCGGAATTTAACTTAAACACATAGCATGTACTGTTCTTATGACACTCCCTAGGTACTCTAGTATACTGGCCACTTAATAGGCACATTATGTTGTTTTTCATTGAATAGGCCTATTTGTAAGGTTTATGATCTCTTAGTGTGCATGGTCAAATAAGGTAAATCAACAAAGTAAACTAAAGCTACAGTCCTTGACTGTAATGAGTACTTAGAGAGATGCTTTTTGTTGTGTTGACAGGGTGCTGCTCCGGAGAGCCAGGAAGTTGGCCCAGCAGTACTTCCTGGTGTACCAGGAGCCCATCCCCACAGCTCAGCTTGTTCAGAGGGTGGCCTCTGTCATGCAGGAATACACACAATCAGGGTATGGAGTAGGCTAAAAGTCAACTGTTTGTTTTCAGACTGTTAAGTAAGAATCATAGAAAAACTCTATTAAACCCCAATTATGCTAAGTGTACCATATTATGTATTGGATGTTAAAATACACAATTTTTATATTATCTTGTAGTTTACCAATAAAATGGGCTGATGGTGACGTAGACATACTTGGTATTCATATTCCTAAAGATATAAATGAATTTACCACAACCAATTTCAATAGAAAGTTTACAAAAATAGACAAGATTCTACAACCATTTATGGAAAAATCACAGTTTACTTACGGCGCTGCCTACTCCAGACGAAAATATATGGGAATGTTTGCTCAATCCAAAGTTACAACCAACTGATTGCAGCATTACTGCAAAAATGGAGGAGGCAAGTGGAAGCGGGAGAAGGTAGGGAATATATCAAAGACAAATATTAGCTGAAAAAGATTGGCATAAGTAGAAAAATATACCAGTTTCAGTTGAGGACAAAAATGGTGACGGCTGCGCCATACAGGTTGCTAAATAGCTGGGAAGAGATTTTCGATGTACCGATTCCACCGCACATGGTGTATGAACTGATACAAAAAACAACACTTGATTCAACGCTTCACGTTTTTCAATTTAAATTATTATACAAAATTCTTGCCACCAACAGAATGTTATATACACAAAACATTAAGGACACCTGCTCTTTCCATTACATAGACTGAACCGGTGAATCGAGGTGAAAGCTATGATCCCTTTTGTCTCTTGTTAAATCCTCTTCAATAAGAGTAGATGAAGAGGAGGAGATGGGTTAAAGAAGGATTTTTAAGACTTGAGACATGGATTGTGTATGTGTGCCATTCAAAGGGTGAATGGGCAAGACAAAAAATGGTAGTAGGTGCCAGGCGCACCGGTTTGTGTCAAGAACTGCAAAGCTGCTGGGTTTTTCACGTTCAACAGTTTCCCGTGTGTGTATCAACAATGGTCCACCACCCAAAGGACATCCAGCCAACTTGACACAACTGTGGGAAGCATTGGAGTCAACATGGGCCAGTATCCTTGTGGAACGCTTTCGACACCTTGTAGAGTCCATGTCCTGACGAATTGAGGCTGTTCTGAGGACAAAAGGGGTGGGGGGTGGAACTCAATATGTGTATCAGGGTTTCCGTTAGGAAAATGTGGTGCTGGACATTTGACTGGCAACATTTGAGAAATCTGCCGAACCCATATGCATTGGGTGCGTAAGCTAATTAGGGCGTCCACCCACAGTGCTCAGAATGACAGTAATCACATTTAGATTATGGTAATTCATATTAATTAACAGAACATGCATGTCTAACAATGTGCGGTCCTTCTGACCGAATTCTGATGTTCCCTTTGAAGATGTTAGAATAACTGTCCACGTTTACTTTTCCTCAGCCAAGAAGACGAATAATGAACAGCAAAATCACTAGCCTATGTCAATCTTCTATCCCCTATAGTAGAAAAGTTTACCTATTCTATTGGTCAGCTTGTCGAGAAAGAAATTCCAAACACTGGGACAGTTGTGGGAAGATGTATCCCAAAATCATACAACCAGTAGGCTTAGGCAAAACATTTTTTAAAGCAATGAGTGATGCAAAAGATCAGAACATTTAGCTTAAAATGTTGATAAACTATAATTTGTGCGAATGTTCGCTCCATAATGCAATTAGCGGGGAAAAACAATTGTCGAAAGGGCACCGCACATGCGAGCAGTTTCATGTGACAGAGATTAAAATATCCATTAGATATTTAGAGAGATCTAATATGCTACTTTGAAGCAAGGTAAGACACGCATCATTTATTAAAACGTTCTGGTTTCAAACAATTGAGTATATGTTTCAAAATGCGTAGCCTACTGCCTCCAGCTCATTGCAAAGTGGTGTGTGATGCGCTGATGAGGCCTACCTTCTGTTGCTGTTTGAGATGCTGCAGCAGCAGCTCTCGCCCTGTCTGACAGATTTTCTGCTCAAAGACTCTGTATGCTGTACGGTTGTGATAAATAAGATGCATAATTAATATACTGTAGCCTACACACCGGCAATTTAATTAGACTAAATTATGCAAATTAACCTATAGACCAATAAGCATGACCAGTCAAATTTATTTCCATCAATGAATAGGCTAAAAAGCATTATTTCGCAATGGGATTTTATATTCTACTCCCGGACAATTGACCTGCACAAAATGTATTTATCGGGCTTTTAGAATTTATCGGACAAACGCCGGCTATTACCAGCTAACGTAAACCCTGGTGCGTATATGTGTGTGTGTGTGTGTGTGTGTATATATACTGAACAAAAATATAAACGCAACATAAAACAATTTCAAAAGATTTTACTGAGTTACAGTTCATATAAGGAAATCAGTCGAAATAAATTCATTAGACCCTAATCTATGGATTTCACATGACTGGGAATACAGATATGCATCTGTTGGTCACAGATATCTTTTAAAAAAAGGTAGGCGTGTGGATCAGAAAACCAGTCAGTATCTGGTGTGACCACCATTTGCCTCATGCAGTGCGACATCTCTTTCACATAGAGTTGATCAGGCTGTTGATTGTGGCCTGTGGAATGTTGTCCCACTCCTCTTCAATGGCTGTGCGAAGTTGCTGGATATTGGCGGGAACTGGAATACGCTGTCATAAATGTCGACCCAGAGCATCCCAAACATGCTCAATGGGTGACATGTCTGGTGAGTATGCAGGCCATGGAAGAACTGGGACATTATCAGTTTCATGCTGAAACAGGTGATGGTGGCGGTTGAATGGCACGACAATGGGCCTCAGGATCTCGTCACGGTGTCTCTGTGCATTAAAATTGTCATCGATAAAATGCAATTATGTTTGCTGTCTACAGCTTATGCATGCCCATACCACAACCCCACACAACGCCATACGTGGTCTGTGGTTATGAGGCCGGTTGGATGTGCTGACAAATTCTCTAAATCGATGGAGGCGGCTTATAGTAGAGAAATGAATATTACATTCTCTGTCAACAGCTCTGGTGGACATTCCTGCAGTCAGCATGCCAATTGCACGCTCCCTCAAAACTTGAGACATCTGTGGCATTGTGTTGTGACAAAACTGCACATTTGAAAACCGCTCGCCCCCACGACCCAATACTCACGATCTATCTTCTGCCCGGTACAGTTGAAACCCTGGATTAATCCATGAAGAGTACACTTCTCCAGCGTGCCAGTGGCCATCCAAGGTGCGCATTTGCCTACTGAAGTCATTTACGACGCCAAACTGCAATCAGGTCAAGACCCTGGTGAGGACGACGAGCACGCAGATGAGCTTCCTTCCCTGAGACTGTTTCTGCCGAAATTCTTCGGTTGTACAAACCCCCAGTTTCATCAGCTGTCCGGGTGGCTGGTCTCAGACGATCACGCAGGTGAAGAAGCCGGATGTGGAGGTCCTGGGCTTGCGAGGTTACACGTGGTCTGCGGTTGTGAGGCCGGTTGGACGTACTGCCAAATTCTCAAACTGTTGGAGGCGGCTTATGGTAGAGAAATTAACATTTAAATTATCTGGCAGCAGCTCTGGTGGACATTTCAGCAGTCAGCATGCCAATTGCACGCTCCCTCAAAACATGACACATCTGTAGCATTTTATTGTGACAAAACTGCACATTTTAGAGTGGCCTTTTTGTCTCCAGCACAAGGTAAACCTGTGTAATGATCATGCTGTTTAATCACCTTCTTGATATGCCACACCTGTCAGGTGGATGGATCATCTTGGCAAATGAGAAATGCTCACTAACAGGGATGTAAACACATTTGTGCATAACATTTTTGAGAAATAAAGCTTTTTGTGCACATGGAAAGTTTCTGGGGTCTTTCATTTCAGCTGATGAAACATTTTTATCTTGCCCATTCACCCTCTGAATGGCACATACACAATCCAGGTCTCAATGGTCTTGGCTTAAAAATCCTTCTTTAACCAGTCTCCTCCCCTTTATCTATATTGATTGAAGTGGATTTAACAAGTGACATCGATAAGGGATCATTGCTTTCACTGGTCAGCCTATGCCATGGAAGGAGCAGGTGTTAATGTTTTGTATACTCAGTGTGTGTGTGTATATACAGTGCATTCAAAAAGTATTCAGACCCTTTCACTTTTTCCATATTTTGTTACATTACAGCCTTATTCTAAAATTGATAAAATTATTGTTTTCCCTCATCAATCTACACACACTACCCCATAATGACAAAGCAAAAACAGGTTGACATTTTTGCAAATTGATAAGAAATATAAAACTAAAATCACATTTACATAAGTAAGTGTTGAAGCACCTTTGGCAGCGATTACAGCCTCAAGTCTTCTTGGGTATGACGCTACAAGCTTGGCACACCTGTATTTGGGGAGTTTCTCCCATTCTTCTCTAAAGATCCTCACAGCAATTTTCAGGTCTATCCAGAGATGTTCGGCCGGGTTCAAGTCCGGGCTCTGGCTGGGCCACTCAAGGACATTCAGAGACTTGTCCCGAAGCCACTCCTGCGTTGTCTTGGCTGTGTGCTTAGGGTCATTGTCCAGTTGGAAAGTGAACTTTCGCCTCAGTCTGAGGTCCTGAGCGCTCTGGAGCAGGATATCATCAAGGATCTCTCTGTACTTTGCTCCGTTCATCTTTCCTTCGATCCTGACTAGTCTCCCAGTCCCTGCCGCTGAAAAACATCCCCAAAGCATTATGCTGCCACCACCATGCTTCACCGTAGGGATGGTGCCATGTTTCCTCCAGACGTGACACTTGGCATTCAGGCAAAAGAGTTCAATCTTGGTTTCATCAGATCAGAGAATCTTGTTTCTCATGGTCTAAGAGTCTTTCGGTGTCTTTTGTCAATCTCCAAGTGGGCTGTCATGTGCCTTTTACTGAGGAGTGGCTTCCGTCTGGCCACTCTACCATAAAAGCCTGATTGGTGGAGCGCTGCAGAGATGGTTGTCCTTCTGGAAAGTTCTCCCATCTCCACAGAAGAGCTCTGTCAGAGTGACCATCGGGATCGAGGGGAAAAATGAACGGAGAAAAGTACAGCGAGATACATTCTATGACTGTCTGGGGAAAAAATGTAGTTATTCTAATGTGATATAATTCAATTAATGTAAATTGATTTGACCAATGAAGGCTTTCGTGAGGGAGTCAATTTGTTTCATGTAGGCTTAAATGTTGTTTTTTGTCTTCCGCTGCAGGGGTGTCCGTCCTTTCGGAGTATCCTTGCTAATCGCTGGTTGGGATGAGGACAGACCATACCTTTTCCAGTCCGATCCATCTGTAAGGGCTAGTTACCACCTTTTGAGATATGAACATGTTTGTCTTATGTATTTTTTGTGAGATCATGATGACTATCATGGTTTGATTTCTCCACACAGGGAGCATATTTCGCCTGGAAAGCAACTGCTATGGGCAAGAACTACGTCAATGGTAAAACATTCCTTGAGAAAAGGTATTTCAATCTAGTTCTCCCCCCCGTCCAATTGGCACCATATTCACAACATACGCATGTCATGTGGAAGTTGAGGTTAAACTGCAGCTGTTAGTAACCCTTTATAAATGTGGGGTAAATTAATGTCTCACTCAGATACAATGAGGACCTGGAACTGGAAGATGCCATTCACACAGCAATCTTGACTTTGAAGGTGAGTTACTCTCTTGAAAGCCTCTCCTGCTGGGCTTCTATGTGCTCCTGATGTCAGACACACATCTGTTAAGAGACCAGCAGCCTCTTGTGGTCTTTTTACATTTGGGTCATGAGCAGAATCCTGAATGCTGTATTTTATTCACAGGAAAGCTTTGAGGGTCAGATGACCGAAGACAATATTGAAGTGGGGATCTGCAATGAAGCCGGCTTCAGGCGTCTGTCACCTGCAGAAGTGAAAGACTACTTGGCGGCCATCGCTTAAAACAAATGTGACTCGTGTTAGTGTGATTTGATTGTTTATCTTTGGTTATTGCAAAAATAAGTTGACTACTGTATTTTCCAACATAACAGCATTTGTTTCCCGTTTGTATTCCAGTCCCTCCCTTCTGACAAGTTCAGTAACTTTCAATAAATTCCAGAAAGTAAAGAAGCTCCCATGTCTTTTTATTTTACATCTATAACTTGAGCTTCTCACAAAATAAAAGTGAACATTTCACACAATAGACAAAATACACTATATGGCTCGTCGAAAATCGAATTCCCAAATCATGGGCATTAATATGAAGTTGGTCCCCTCCTTTGCGGCTATAACAGCCTCCACTTTTCTGGGAAGGATTTCCACTAGATGTTGGAACATTGCTGCAGGGACTTGCTTCCATTCAGCCACGAGCATTAGTGAGGTTGGGCACTGAGGTTGGGCGATTAGGCCTGGCTCGCAGTCGGCGTTACAATTAATCTCAAAGGTGTTCGATGGGGTTGAGGTCAGAGCACTGCATTGTTTAGGCTCATCTGCTCTAGCGACTCCTTGTGGTGGGCCGGGCGCCTGCAGGCTGACCTCGGTCGTCAGTTGAACAGTGTTTACTCCGACACATTGGTGCGGCTGGCTTCCGGGTTAAGCAGGCGGGTGTTAAGAAGCGCGATTTGGCGGGTCGTGTTTCGGAGGAAGCATGACTCGACCTTCACCTCCCGAGCCCGTTGGGGAGTTGCAGCGATGAGACAAGATCGAAATTGTGGAGGAAAAAGGGGGTTAAATACAACAACAACAAAAAAAAGCACCTCTAAGACGTGGTAGAGCTGTTCTATATGCACTATTTCTATGCTTCCCGTTAAGTTTCGTTTGTCTCTTTTACTTTCGGTTTTGTACACCAGCTTCAAACAGCTGAAAATACACTTTATTTAGTTATGGAAAAAATATTAAACAGCGGTTTAGATGGTACAATGACTCTCCACACTATACTTGCTTGTTTTGTCACAAACTGAAATTAGGCAAACTATTTTAAAAAATGTAACATTTACATTTTAGTAGACGCTCTTATCCAGAGCGACTTACAGGAACAATTAGGGTTAAGTGCCTTGCTCAAGGGCACATCGACAGATTTTTCACCTAGTCGGCTCGGGGATTAGAACCAGAGACCTTTCGGTTACTGGCACAACGCTCTTAACCACTAAGCTAACTGCCGTAACCAGGAAATGGCAGCGAGATTTCTGCACCTTTAACTATACAATGTGTAATAATTTAGTTTTTGTGGCATCTATCTATGTCTTTGAAATATTCCTGGCTATTCCTATGGTTTATAAATATTCTGCCACCAGGAAATGTACAGTTGAAGTCGGAAGTATACATACACCTTAGCCAAATACATTTAAACTCAGTTTTTCACAATTCCTGACATTTAATCCTAGTAAAAATTCCCTGTTTTAGGTCAGTTAGGATCACCACTTTATTTTAAGAATGTGAAATGTCCGAATAATAGTACAGCGATTTATTTATTTCAACTTTTATTTATTTCATCACATTCCCAGTGGGTCAGAAGTTTACATACACTCAATTAGTATTTGGTAGCGTTGCCTTTATATTGTTTAATTTGGGTCAAATGTTTCGGGTAGCCTTCCACAAGCGTCCCACAATACGTTGTGTGAATTTTGGCCCATTCCTCCTTACAGAGCTGGTGTAACTGAGTCAGGTTTGTAGGCCTCCTTGCTCGCACACACTTTTTCAGTTCTGCCCACAGATTTTCTATAGGATTGAAGTCAGGGCTTTGTGATGGCCACTCCAATACCTTGACTTTGTTGTCCTTAAGCCATTTTGCCACAACTTTGGAAGTATGTTTGGGGTCATTGTCCATTTGGAAGACCCATATGCGACCAAGCTTTAACTTCTTGACTGATGTCTTGAGATGTTGCTTCAATATAGCCACATAATTTTCCTTCCTCATGATGCCATCTATTTTGTGAAGTGAACCAGTCCCACCTGCAGCAAAGCACCCCCACAGCATGATGCTGCCACCCCCGTGCTTCACGGTTGGGATGGTGTTCTTCGGCTTACAAGCAACCCCCTTTTTCCTCTAAACATAACGATGGTCATTATGGCCAAACAGTTCTATTTTTGTTTCATCAGACCAGAGGACATTTCTCCAAAAAGTACAATTTTGTCCCCATGTGCAGTTGCAAATCGTAGTCTGGCTTTTTTTATGGCGGTTTTTGAGAAGTGGCTTCTTCCTTGCTGAGCGGCCTTTCAGGTTATGTCGATATAGGACTTGTTTTACTGTGGATATTGATACTTTTGTACCCGTTTCCTCCATCTTCACAAGGTCCTTTGCTGTTGTTCTGGGATTGATTAGCACTTTTCGCAACAAAGTACGTTCATCTCTAAGAGACAGAACACATCTCCTTCCTGAGCAGTATGACGGCTGCGTGGTCCCATGGTGTTTATACTTGCGTACTATTGTTTGTACAGATGAACGCGGTACCTTCAGGCATTTGGAAATTGCTCCCAAGGATGAACCAGACATGTGGAGGTCTACAAATTTTTTTCTGAGGTCTTGGCTGATTTCTTTTGACTTTCCCATGATATCAAGCAAAGAGGCACTGAGGTTGAAGGTAGGCCTTGAAATACATCCACAGGTACACCTCCAATTGACTAAAATGATGTCAATTAGCCTATCAGAAGCTTCTAAAGCCATGACATTTTCTGGAATTTCCCAAGCTGTTTAAAGGCACCGTCAACTTAGTGTATGTAAACTTCTGACCCAATGGAATTGTGATACAGTGAATTATAAGTGAAATAATATGTCTGTAAACAATTGTTGGAATAATTACTTGTGTCATGCACAAAGTAGATGTCCTAACCGACTTGCCAAAACTATAGTTTGTTAACAAGAAATTTGTGGAGTGGTTGAAAAACGAGTTTTAATGACTCCAACCTAAGTGTATGTAAACTTCCGACTTCAACTGTAGCTACCGTGATAAGGAGCGTAACATTGAGTGCTGGTTCCTGGCTAATGACCCTGTAGCTGGTCTATGGGCACTGTTGGAGATACCACAGGCATAAATGGCCAGATTTCAAACCAGCAATCATTTTTCTGCAAAATGTTTCACTAATTCAGAGAGACTGTATACGTGTCCACATCCCACTATAATCCATACTGATTAAGTTATCCAGGTTCATTTTAGAGTCTGGAAGGATAGAAACCCATTCTTCTGTAAGATAGACAATCCTGATATTATCACACAGACACCCTACAGAAAATTATTTATATTCAAATATTGAGTGTTGCAAGAAGAAATAAGTATGTAATAGTACTGAGATGTACCTGTTTCAATACAATGATACAGAGTTGGAGGCATGAGCCACGTCCCATTGGCATCTTTCATATGTGACCGGTCGGAGGCAAAATTCTTTAAGTAGGTATCTGCAGAAATAACTTGCAACTTTCTGGAAAGTGTTACACAAGCATTCAACAGTGTTTATCATTGAGGAGAACCGATCACCTGAATATGAATACTGGTTGGCTTACCACCAGAAAGCTGGTTTAAGACCCTGATCGGTCTGGAAGGCTTCTGTAGTGTAAACATGGAAGGAACAGGAGAAAGGTAGGACAGTATCTAGGTCATAAATAAAGCTTTGTCCCTGCTAATTCTGATGTAGTAGAATAACGTGATAACTCTACAAACAGAGAATAATGAATGTTATATAGCGACCATTGTAATAGTTGACAGTTTACAGCAGTGGAGTAAATGGAATGGTATCAAAAACATGGGTTTGATACCATTCCATTCACTCCATTCCAGCCATTATTATGAGCCGTTCTCCCCTCAGCAGCCTCCACTGGTTTACACACATTGCCATTGGCCTTTTGATAAATCTAAAATGTCCGTATTTCACATAATGCTAAAGGAAAGGGTGTGGCTTCATCTGTTTTTCTAATTCTGGATTGTTCTATCCTCTGTGTGATAATGAATTCCAAGGGACTTGATGACAGTGCCTACCCAAACAACAGGTTCATCTCCACGACTGGACTTATGTTTCCACATAGGGATCTGAGAGGAATGGAAATTCATAACAGAGTGAAGGGTTAACAAAGATTTCACAATCCCAATCACTAGGCAATTTGATGACCTAGCAACTCACCATTCTTCTTTCATTTGATATAAAGACTGCATACACCTCGTTCAATGGTATTTGCGTTTGAGTCTTGATGTGTTCACATAGTTTCCAAACATTTCCTCACTGAAAAAGCTAGATGAAATTCTTGCACCCATTGTACGTATTTTGCTTTATTTTGATAATGCATGCATTGCTGACATTTACCAGTAGCAGCTTGTGTAAACGCATTCATCCCTGGATGGAGTGATGTTGATATACTTTGATGAAACGTGTTCTTTATGCATATCTTCCCTGCAATTATAACAGACTGACGCTACAAAACAATTGCATTTAAAAACATCAGCCAACGAGCAGTCGATTTTGCAGCAGTCTACACATTTTGGCGTTACATTAATAAGTGTCCGACAGAGGACGAGAGTCATCTGGAAATTGTGGCCGACTTTGACGTCGCCACATCTTTCATGCTACGCAGGATTTGATCAGTAGGGTAAGACATCACGTTACAAAATGTGAACGTGTTCCCTCTCCATTTACAGAATTTGTTTTAGTTTGCATCTTAGCGTTCATAGCCATGGTTATCAACTGCACCGCAGAAATGGAACGTAAATCACAGAAAATAGATGTTATGGTGTCAGCTGCAGAGAAGTACTTGGGTGTACGAGATTTTACTGCAGAAGAGTTACATGTGTTGAACAATAGTCTCTTGTACTCTCAGGCTGCCGGCCAAGATAGGGCTGAATAGTGGTGAGCAAAGTGCAAAAGCGCGTGCACCATTTTTTTAATGGGATTAATAATAACGTAATTTACACGGTAAAAATGAATTACCTTTTATTAATGTGACATGAACACAACCAGTCATGATATTTCCATCAAACAAATCACTTCAAAAAGTAGGCTACCTGTGCATGTTTGTTCACTCCAAAATAATTCCAGCATCCAAACTGCATGTACAGTATACTGATGCCATTTGATGAACGGAAATAGACATCTGTTACAAAACACCAAAAAGTGTGCCAAATGGCATTCAGCGATTGCCATTGATTAGGCCTACATTAATTGATGCATCCTGCTGACAAATTGACCTTTTTTGTAGCCTGAAAAGTCGGAACACATGCTGAAATGGGGCTGACAATGTCCCGGGGAAAACGGGATGGTCACCCTAACACACATGGTCAATTTACTAGATTAGGTAGTGGTAAAAAAATAGGTGGGTAAACTCTGATTGCCGGTTGCGGTAAAAAATAAAATAAAGCTCCCAATACTTTCAATGTATTTTTCTGAAAAATGTGGGTAAACGGCGTTTACTTGCGTTTACCCTCCGCTAGGCCTAGGCCTACACCACCGCTGGTAGCCAACCCTCTCAGCCAAGGCAATTTTACACACATGGACACGTGCAGAACAGGTAGCCTACATTCAATATAATACATGAGTTGAATCAAAACATGTTTTACACCCTAGTTCTTGAGTTGTCCATAATTCATGAGTTAATGCATGGAGTCTAGGGCCCGTGTAGCTTAGTTGGTAGAGCATGGCGCTTGCAACACCAGGGTTGTGGGTTCGATTCCCATGGGGGGCCAGTATGAAAATGTATGCACTCACTAACTGTAAGTCGCTCTGGATAAGAGCGTCTGCTAAATTACTAAAATGTAAATGTAAAATGAGTCTTCACAGATCGTTTGCCATAATACACCAACTTTCTTTCTTTTAATTAATGAAATTTATAACAGTGTTATTTGTCATTGAACTTAAAACTGTACAAATCATGGATCTTGGAGATCTCAGAAAATGTACTGTAAGTGTAACTACAGTGAGGGAAAAAAGTATTTGATCCCCTGCTGATTTTGTACGTTTGCCCACTGACAAAGAAATGATCAGTCTATAATTTTAATTGTAGGTTTATTTGAACAGTGAGAGACAGAATAACAACAAAAAAATCCAGAAAAACGCATGTCAAAAATGTTATAAATTGATTTGCATTTGAATGAGGGAAATAAGTATTTGACCCCCTCTTAATCAGAAAGATTTCTGGCTCCCGGGTGTCTTTTATACAGGTAACGAGCTGAGATTAGGAGCACAAACTTAAAGGGAGTGCTCCTAATCTCAGCTTGTTACCTGTATAAAAGACACCTGTCCACAGAAGCAATCAATCAATCAGATTCCAAACTCTCCACCATGGCCAAGACCAAAGAGCTCTCTAAGGATGTCAGGGACAAGATTGTAGACCTACACAAGGCTGGAATGGGCTACAAGACCATCGCCAAGCAGCTTGGTGAGAAGGTGACAACAGTTGGTGCGATTATTTGCAAATGGAAGAAACACAAAAGAACTGTCAATCTCCCTCGGCCTGGGGCTCCATGCAAGATCTCACCTCGTGGAGTTGCAATGATCATGAGAACGGTGAGGAATCAGCCCAGAACTACACGGGTGGATCTTGTCAATGATCTCAAGGGAGCTGGGACCATAGTCACCAAGAAAACAATTGGTAACACACTACGCTGTGAAGGACTGAAATCCTGCAGCGCCCGCAAGGTCCCCCTGCTCAAGAAAGCACATATACAGGGCCGTCTGAAGTTTGCCAATGAACATCTGAATGATTCAGAGGAGAACTGGGTGAATGTGTTGTGGTCAGATGAGACCACAATGGAGCTCTTTGGCATCAACTCAACTCGCCGTGTTTGGAGGAGGAGGAATGGTGCCTATGACCCCAAGAACACCATCCCCACCGTCAAACATGGAGGTGGAAACATTATGCTTTGGGGGTGTTTTTCTGCTAAGGGGACAGGACAATTTCACCGCATCAAAGGGACGATGGACGGGGCCATGTACCGTCAAATCTTGGGTGAGAACCTCCTTCCCTCAGCCAGGGCATTGAAAATGGGTCGTGGATGGGTATTCCAGCATGACAATGACCCAAACCACACGGCCAAGGCAACAAAGGAGTGGCTCAAGAAGAAGCACATTAAGGTCCTGGAGTGGCCTAGCCAGTCTCCAGACCTTAATCCCATAGAAAATCTGTGGAGGGAGCTAAAGGTTTGAGTTGCCAAACGTCAGGCTCGAAACCTTAATGACTTGGAGAAGATCTGCAAAGAGGAGTGGGGACAAAATCCCTCCTAAGATGTGTGCAAACCTGGTGGCCAACTACAAGAAACGTCTGACTTCTGTGATTACCAACAAGGGTTTTGCCACCAAGTACTAAGTCATGTTTTGCAGAGGGGTCAAATACTTATTTCCCTCATTAAAATGCAAATCAATTCATAACATTTTTGACATGCGTTTGTCTGGATTTTGTTGTTGTTATTCTGTCTCTCACTGTTCAAATAAACCTACCATTAAAAGTATAGACTGATCATGTCTTTGTCAGTGGGCAAACGTACAAAATCAGCAGGGGATCAAATACTTTTTTCCCTCACTGTATGCGTACGTAACAGTTCATTATGTTTCGCCGTGAAAACAGTTATAATGGGCACACAAATCCAAAATAATGTAGGCCTCTGCCATTGCAAAATCGAATGCTTCTAACCAAACGTTAAAACATCTTCTAACCAAAAGAGTCACCTTATAGGATGGATTGGATGCATATTGGTTTCTAACTGTAGGCCAGTTGTCTGGTGATATTGTCGACCATCATCAGCTGATCCAGGAAAGACAACAAATATTGATAGAAAATAGAAAAGCTAAATAAATGGTCTACTACCCTCAAACTAAATACTGGACCTCGAAGCCAGTTTCACTGCATTTTTTCATTGTTCCACTCTAATCAGGCACTGATTTAGACCTGTGACACCCATAGCCGCGGCCTTTACTAGTCCTGTATTATCGGACAGATATAGCCGTCTGTAGCGCAGGCAATTTTTTTCTTCATTAGGGTAAATCAAGTCAGACATTTCAAAGTGGAAATTACAAACATTAATTAAAGGCCTTTTTAAAACTCTAATACACTACAAGTTTGCATTTCCTGAACAACAAGAGTGATCAAATTAAGATCCTACATCTGTACAACGCTGTTTTTATTCACACTTTTAGAAATCATGAAACGTGCTTCTCCACTTCGACTCGTACTCTCTCCCTCCCTCCGCTGAGACATGACCATCAGTTCAGTGAAATAAAAAATACAAAAAGTTATTTCAATTTCTGCTCCGATGTGCCTCGCAAGTAATATAGGCTACAACAACTGACCTATAACCAGTGTTATCATATAGCCTAGCGTGAGACTTGAGTTTTGAAATATAAGGGACTCTACGTTATTTATGATAAGAGGTAGGCATACATGGAGAAAATCAGACCTCTCTTATTATATATGAAAATAGGCAAATGCATGGAAACAATATTTATTCCCAGTCAATGTAAATAACCTATCATTTTTAGGAATTTAAATGAATTGGAAATATATATTTTTCATGAGCTTCTCCGCCCATTCACTATAGTTAGGCCCTATGGGCTACTGATAATTTAATTGATATCACACAATACATTTTAGGGACACTTGATCTCGTGCGCCCAGCAGAGAATTACACTCAGCTTGCATTTTGATTGATAAAGTGATCTCGTCTAAGAAAAGGTTGGTGACCAGTGTTCTAACCTATATAGGCTGTGGCTGCCTATTGTGATCATTACTGTTATATCAGGGCATTATGTTCTAGTCTCATAGTCTATTAATTATAGACCTATAGTTTATTAAGGATAGGTCTATGTGAGTCACATGTTAAATGCAAGAGTCATGGATTTACATAGGCCTACAAGACTATTTGGTCTGTAATGCGAAATCACATGTTAGATGGTTTGTTGTGTGTGTGATTGATTACAGTAGGGTATAGGGTAGGCTATGATAATTTAATAATGATTTGAGTGCCCATTTTGGCCCACCTACATTTTTGCTGGCCCTGCCATCAACAGGTGTCTGCCTACACCACTGACACATACAGACACAAATAAGTCAGTCCATTGTAGCTTAAACAATGTTGAAACCACAAAAATACTCTTAAAGGTCATGTTGTAATCCTTCATGTTCTAATGTAGCCTATTGGTTGCCCCCAGTGGTCACCTTCCCCTTTATTCAAATCATTATAATGCAAAACCAGGATGACCTGGGAAATGGAGGTTGAGTAAATAATACAATATGTTAATGATGATTGCCAATGTAGGTCTGCATGTTTACCCCATACAGAGACCTTTAATCACAGTACAGAGAATGAAACGCAGACCGAGTGTGTGTGAGAGAGAGAAAGCCCTTTG